TAAAAATATCTGCCAGGTAAGCCAATTTATATGTAAAAATTTTTTTTCGAAATATTCGAAGAATGGGTTATCTTTTTCTTCTAGAAAAAGTGATACCTCTGTCTTCAACAATAAAATTCATTTCAAAACCTGCCCTCGTGACAGCCAGGGCACTTCCGTGTGGCACAGAAGTACCTCATGTTCTGCATCCATTTCTTGACACAGTGTTTTAATAAGACGATGATTAAGAGCTCTACTTCTAATGAAATTCACAGTTTTAATAACTATTGATAATACCTCTTTAAAGCTGGAAGAGTTTTTGTAGCCAGTTCATGTCTATGCAAAGAACAATGACTAACAAGAACATTAGGACTCTCTTTTTATTCCAACAGGGCAAAACCAGATTTAATGCCAAGCATCACAGGTCCTCCATCTGTACAAAGTGAATGATGTTTTTCTTTCCAGTCGAAGTCGAGTTTGGTAAAGAAAACATTTAACATTGCTAAAACATCAACTGCCTTTGTAGTTAGCAAAAGAGACTCACAAAATAAGAATTCCTCTTTGATAGTATCAGAAGACACGTAACGAACAAAAATAAGAAATTGACTACAATTCGAGATGTCTGTAGTTTCATCCAGTTACATGCTAAAGAGAAATGGCGACACTTTCAATTCATCGATGATCTGTTTCAAGATATTGCAAGAAATTTCAACTATTCTTTAATGTATTACATCATTGGACAATGGAATAGCCTGAAGTTTTTTTCTCTATTCCAGTTCACAAACTAATTCAATAATTTCCAGCGCACATGACTTAATTAACGTCTCTCCAATAGTATGCGGTTTCTTGCTTTTGGCAATACGATATGCAACTTTGAAAGATGCCTCAACCAGGGTTTTTTGTGGAATACCAAATCCAAGTCTGGTTAATGCTCCAGATGTCGAAAACTGGACTTTTTTTTTAGTAAACAATTCTAGATATTTAGATGCATTTTCAGGATGAAGAGACTTGAGATGCTCTATCAATTTTGTTGGTTTCACACTTGCATTTGCTAAAACTCTTCCACATAGAAAACATTAGGGCTTTTCCGTACCGTCAGATTCCTTCATGCAACAGAATCCATATGAAACATAATTTTCATTATACTTCCTTTTTTAGGACATTTCGAATTAGATTAGGGATACAAAAAATATCAAATAATATTAAATCAAATAATAATTGACAGGGGTATTAGAGGGCTGTGTGGACCAATTTAATGGATACGTTATTTCTATCAGCGCAAAGTTCTCTTCTCTCAGACTCAGCGTCCAGTTCGCTAATCACCGGAAATTCTTATGCAGTTCCTTTTGATTGAACTTTTTTCTTCAAACTTTATTTATTACTTCAATTGTTATGTCTCGATATAAATTTTAATTAATTTTAAGGCTACACCCCTTTATATTTATTACTCACTAATACCCGGAGCTTTACAACTTAGATACTCCAAATAAATTAGAAATTCAAACAAAGTAAGACGCATTATTCATCATTTTGATTTGTGTTTTCTAAATAAAATAATGAGTTTTCGTAAATATGCCAAATTGCCAAGAAAATTTGCGGAATAGTTAAAATATTTGGGAGGTCACAGCAACCTCCTGGAGCCCCTGTAACACTCAATAAGGACTTGCAGGAGATATAACGGAATTATCAAAATATCCACCAAAGGCTAACATTTTTCCAAAAACTGTCATAGTAACAGGCAATATAATTTACAGTTATTGGTCAACGCCACTTTTTTTTGCGAAATTTCATTCTGAATTTTTAGTTGTTGTAGTTCATTTACGTCGCACTAGAGCTGCACAATGGGCTATTGGCGACGGTCTGGGAAACATCCCTGAGGATGATCCAAAGACATGCCTTCACAATTTTGATCCTCTGCAGAGGAGATGACACCCCTGCTTCGGTAGCCCGTAGACCTGCACGCGCAGTCGAGAACTTTACGGTAGAACAGTGTAACGAGGACCAATACCCCACACCCTCGGTCCCTACGCAGGCTGACCCAAGTGGTCACCCACCCGCACAATTACCGCAGCCGGTGATGCTTGACTTCGGTGATCTGCTGGGAACCGATTCTTAACGATCAGTCCACTGCGGGACCTGAAATTTGTTACCAAATTGTTGTTTACATCAGTTTTATTCTCTAATTTCTTACGAGTCTTTTTAAGCGGAAGTAAGTTCGACCCAGGTGATTGACGAAACAACTAGCGTATATACGGAGCAAAGTGCTCGTTAAATCCGTTGTGGCTGAATGTCCTTTCATTAGTTATGGTGTGGAGGTGTTTGAAAGTGTCCAAACATCGCCTGACCAAAACCAGGACCTAAATTATGTGGCATTTTTACCATGGCCATTAAAAGATAAAGCCCTAAAAATGAAAATGGGGTTAGATGCTTGATAATGAAGATGTGAGACTTTAGCATGGATGGTGTTTTCAATATAAATATAAACAACAACAATCTTTGGCCAGCTCGACTTCCGGTTAAAAAGTATGCAGCTGCTTACTAAAATTAATTCTGCCAGACGATATTTTCAAACATATAATTTTGATTTCAATAAAAGAAATAAATTATATAACTTCTGAGCTGAAATCTGCTGTATTTTATAAGATATTAATTATATGAAGTAATTTTGGTGAGTTTGAAGTGAAAACTTAATTTAATTATTTATTGATATATTGTTGAAAAAATAACATAGTTGCTGGATTTGGAAAGAACTCGCTTTTTGTGGACAGTCCTGATTTGATTTCTTGTAACTTGTTCATTAATTATCATTTAGGTTTGAATTTCGAAGTTGATATATTGTTGACAAGATAATAAGTGTTTCATACCGATCCTTTTTTTCGAAAATTAAGATACACAACGCAACACGAACCACTTCGAGTTTTAAACTTAGAACTCATTGTAAGCACAAATAATAAATCACGTAACAAATATTATGTATACAAGAAATACTACTCAAGAGAGTTTCAAAGCGCAATGAGCGCGTTGTGAGCCAAATGACCTCAAAATATACCCGGAAGTAAATGCTGTAAAGAGCTCCCAGTATTTCAATCGTAGATCAATTCATAGATCGATTAGATCATCGTAGATCGATTCAATCAATTCATAGCGAGAGAGGTCGGCATTTTCCACCAAAGTTATAGACATATTTTAGTCAGCCTATCGACAGATAAACCTATTAATTTGTTTTCAGTCGACTTTTGTTTCTGATAATATTTTGTTTTAATTAGCAAGGAGGCCGGCTGAAAAAATATTTAGCTACGAATGAATTTCTTTTCGCTTTTCTCCGTTAAATGCTCATTAAAAAACAAAAGTCGACCTATTAATAGGTAAATCGATGTATACTTTTTCGGTCGGACTTTGTTTTTGATAATTTTTTTAAATAGCTTGCTGGCCGACTGGAAACAGTAGAAACTGCCATAGTCAGTGCTCAGGGTGTAGAAGTGAAGTCAACCCTTTTATCACTGACTTTCTGTACTCCTAGACAAAATGACAATGCTTAAGTAAAATTATATATTTTCATATTTCATACTTTGCTTAAAAACGCCAGGTATTGCAATGCTGTTGCATCCAACATAGGTATATAACGTATATAAATATTACCCAGAGCATTAAAAAAAATCATATGCTCATCTATTTAGTTCGAAGTTCTTTTGAGAGTTTAATCGTATTTATGAGGAAAATTATAATTAAAAATTCTACTTTCTTTCCTTAACCGTAAATCCTGATTTTTTTATTGATATTAAATAGTTTTGATTATTTGATTCAAATTGAGTTTATGACTAAGAAAAGTTTTAATTTTTTAATTTCATATTTAGTGTGAAGTATAAGTTGACACAATTATTTTTAATTATTACGTTTTAAAAAATAAAATATATATAAAAATGAAAGGATTTGAGCCCTCCCTGGCAAAAGAAGCATGCATTAGCAATCGAAATAGGCCTTTCTGACCTCCTCTTCTCTGTTGTACGGGAAAGTACTACGACATTTCCTCTTTTCTAATTATTTCTTGTATTTAATTGTAAAAATAATTTTAAAACATTTCCACGACGCTTTCTTTTTTAACTATATTCAATGCAGTTTCCAGTTCCATGTTGTTGTTGTTAATTTACGTCGCACTAGAGCTGCACAATGGGCTATTGGCGACGGTCTGGGAAACATCCCGGAGGATGATCCGAAGACATGCCATCACAATTTTGATCCTCTGCGGAGGGGATGGCACCCCCGCTTCAGTAGCCCGACGACCTGCGCGCGTAGTCGAGCACTTTACGGTAGCACAGTTTAACGAGGACCAATACCGCTCATCCTCGGTCCCTACGCAGACTGATCCAAGTGGTCACCCACCCGCACACTGACCGTAGCCAGTGATGCTTGACTTTAAGTAGTTTCCTAACTTAACTATCTTCAACTATTTGAAAATCAGGATAGAAACTAACTTACTTCTTTCTCCTATGACTATTCACACACTAACGGTGAAAGCATGCGAAGCATTACCATAGCATTGGTAGAGAGTTTTGCTTTAAGCCACCTGTAGCCCATTTCCATCTCCAATAGGTGATCTCTATACCAATAGCAACACTTCGCATGCTTTCATCACTAGGGCATGGGGAGTCAAAGGATAGGGAAGTACGTCAGCTTCTTTCTTGATTTTCAAATAGATTCCAATAGATTCAAATAGATTTCCAATAGATACTATATGGAACTGCAAACTACATTGAACATAGTACTAAAAGAAAGCGTACTGCAAAGTTTTAAGAAATTTTGACAATTTGTGACAATTAATTTTAATTCGCAAATATATTAAGGAAAAGGAAAATATCGTATTAAATGCCTATACAACTTGTAAGTGGAGAAGAAAGGGAGAAGGTCTAGACATGGATCAGTTTTTCTCATTGGAGCGCTATGATCGCCAATAAAAGTGCCATCTATCAGCGAAACGATAAACCACCATTTAAATGCTCCAAGTAAGCTATAAGTTAAAAAAAATTTCTTAAAACTAAATTTAATAACGATATATGTAACAAAACACTGGCGTAAATATTAATAGTAAATAAAAGTCTAGAATTTAAAGAGTAAAAGTAATGTTTTAATAGAGAATTATAGTTAGTACTATCAAATTACTAAAATAAAAATGGCATTTTTAAATAAACTGATGGGTACTTTCATAAATCCTTTGATGAAAGTTTCCGGATCAGTTCTCAAAGATCGTGTCCTTGTAAGTACTACTATAAACATGTATGTTTATTTATCTAATGTTTAAGAAAATGTAGTATTTACTTTTGTGAAGTGTTTTTAAATTTCTCTGCGATGTTACATGTTAATTTAGACATATATAATATATTTTCCATTAACATTACAATTATATTGATAGTAATTTTAGCGATGAGACTCTCACGGTTATTATGCAATATTATTCATGGCTTTTCTCATTTTAAAATTTTTTATATGGTTTAAAAATTCTAAAGGCAGTAATCCAGGCCCATGGAGTATACATTTGACTCTAAAATGCCAATCAACAAAAGAATTTAAAAGTATCGAATTCGAGTTTGATGTTACTGTTTTTTTTTTTTAACTGAAGCATATAATGACAATAATTTTGAAACAGAATTTATAAAGGGTCATTTTATGTCGGTTCATCCCGCCTTTGCACCCTCTATCTCAGGTTTTAATGAAAATCTGTGCATTTATCGAATTTTCGATACTGATTTCAAAAATATTAATAATATTGGAACCTGTATAAAGGTTATAAACATAGGTATTTTTGCCACAACAGCACTTCTGCCACTATTTTGATTCAGATAGAACAGCAATTTTTATTAATTTTGTTTAGAATATAGAAATATGACCTTTAAATGCATTTTTTTATAAATAAGTATCGTGTTTAGTACATCAGTCTATTTTGCAGTTTTATGATCTATCAGGAGTTGAGTATCTTCAATAGCTGGTTACTCAAAACTCAATCTCTTCAATTGTCCTCTTCAATTTAAAAAATGTTTTAACCAAAGAATGTTAAAATTGCATACTAACATTTAATTAAAAAATATTAATAGTTATTTCGCGCATTTATTTATTTTGAATTAAACATTTGGTAAAAGCAGATTTCATTTTAAACAGCACAACAAGATAACACAATGACTTGCAAATTTATCTTAAAAATATATATATATACTCAGATAAATATAGTCATTTTTTCGATATTTTTAGTTCTGAGAATTGAGAAGGATATTTTTTCATTTTTGTTGTTTTTATTATAACACAGCATTTTAACAGAATGTCTAATACTAAAAATTTATAGTCACCGTTTCCTTGTAGTGTAATATAAATAACTGGTAACAAAACTGTGATTTTTCAGTGTTAAAGTTTTGTTTTGAGAACTATGAAGAATTTATTTTTTGCATTTTTTTTTAATTCTTTTTTTATTAACTTTTCTTTTTATAGGCCTTTTATCATAGGCATTTTATTTAATGAACATTACTAATAAATTTTATTTTATAGCTATTTTTTTCTTCTGAAAATACGGCAATGTGAAAAACTGAAATTGAGATTTTTGTTTAAAAAATTAAGAACAATTTTTGTTTTTGTTTCAATTTAGCTTTTTTTTTTTTTTTTTAAATAAAAAAAAACTTTTAATGAACGTTTTTATCATAACATAGCAATTTTTAAGAGCATTTTTGTTAGACTTAATTATTTTTTCTGGTAATTAGATAACTGAGAATTCAGCTTTAAAATTTCCTTTCGAAAATTAGGATCGAGTTTTATTTTCTCTGTTTCGCTTTTGTATATAATCTTTAGTTTTTATGATAGCTCAGCGTTTTCAAAAGAGTTTCTGATAGGCCTTATTTTTTAGCGTTGTTTTGCAAATACATTTTTTTCAGAAAATATTCTTAGCATTGAAATTTTGCTTTCAGTGTTGCTATGCTGCTAAAAAAATGTGATATTTGGCCCCGAATATACGGTGTTCGTCTGATTGTTTTGCCGAATATTCGGTATTTGACAAATTGCATTCGTCGCCAATAAATCGAAGGAAAAATAACTAGGACTATTATAAACCATCATAGAAATGCATTGTTATACCATTATGGATCATCACAAATTTTGATAGTATCTTAGAAATCAAATGTTGGAACGATCATAAACAACCATCATCCCAATGGGCGATCAGAATCTCTTTTGTTGTAATAATATTGTAATAAAAATTCAAGATTTTCAAAATCACATTGAAGAGCAGAAATAACTGCTTATAAAAATCATTTAGATTTACAATAAAAGCGGCTTAAAGAAAGCACATTAAACGTACATTTACTATAGAATCAGTAAAAACTGAGCGCATCAAAAAGTGATGTTTTAAAAGTGAAATTAAAAATTTGTGAATTTTTTTTTTTTAATCTTCTAAGTGCAACATTTCAAAATTAATGTTTGTTTTTATTTCAAATCAATTAGGTCATATTGCAGTTCATTTCAAAGGTTTTTGCTGTTGGGCTTAGCAACATTCACTAAAACATTTTTTGATAAAGTTCAGTTTGTATAAATTTAACTATCATAAAATTAAAGTTGTTTTAAGAATCATTTCATTAAAGTAACCCTAAGCTTGAATGAGGCAGGTTGAATTGTCAAGTACTGCACTGCAGAGCTATAAGTTTAAAAAATTGCAATTCTAATCTAAGAAATAAAATTAATTTAAAATAACAGTGAGCTTTGCTATAGTTTTATCTTTTAAAAAGAAAATAAATAAGGAAAATATATGAATGATTCATATATCAATTATTCCTTCTCGTGTAAGCCTTGCTCTTATATATTCTCTTTATTTGTTTTGGCTCTTTTTTTTTAATGCAAAAATATGCATTAAATAAGATCTGAAATTTTGATCATAGCAATTTTAAATTTAAAAAAAAAATTTAGGTCTATAATTTTTTAAAAGATAATATATATTTGAAGTCTTTGACAATTTTTAGAGGTAAAAACGCTGTTTTTACCACCCTCTATACCGATCCCATAAGAACCCTATATAAGTGGAATTACATTAAACCAATGTAATTTAAGCAGAAAGAAAAATTGTCTGGGTCAAAGTTGCCCCAAGCAAGAGCTACTTGGTTCAATATTTTCAAATCGCTATTAAAATTAAAAGTTTAAATAAATGCATTATCCATTTAATAAAATCGCATCATTTTTCTAACCCAAGTCAATTATTAAAAAATGGGCTAAAGTAGCCCTGTAGTAAGCTTTTATAGTTTGAAGGTTCTGTTAATGCCCTTTTTATATAATTAAATTAACAATCAGATAAACAGTAATGTTATGGAATGAAAGGCTTAATTGAAAAACAGAACTTAGGTGACATTTAAAAGCATTAATTATAGATTTTTATTTATTTAAAGAAAAAAAAATTTTTTTTGAGGCATTAAACTTTTTTTTTTTTACTTTAAATTTTCTTAGTTACTACCGCATGCACATTAGTTTAACATTTGTCAGTATTTTTTCTGCATTCAAAATTTTCTTCCCATCAGAATTTTTTTGTTGATTTGCAGTGTACTAGTAACAAAACAATGTCTGTTGATCTCAACAAAACAATCACAGTCATTGTTTTGCACATCCTTCGTTGATGATTCTTGTTTTTGTTATTCTAATTATTTTGATATCGGGAAAATTTTTTACTTTCACTTTTATTTTGAAATTTAAGGAATCATTTGAAATAGAAATTTGATTCTCTTTCAAATTTGAGGTCAAAAGTAACCTTCAGCTCAATTCAATAATCTACTCATGTAGAGTTTCTTTCATTTTACTGATCTTTAATTTTACAGACACCAGTATCATCTCAAATAGTTGCAAAGAGATCAAAATTATATTACACGGATTGGAGGATGCTTAGAGATGTCAAACGGAGGAAAGTTGTTAAAGAATATGCCAAGCTAAGACTTCAAATAAATTCTATAAGATATAATACTGTCCTACCTGACCAAATCAAAGTGAGTATCAATAACTTTAAACTGTTATTTCTGCTTTAACTGCTCAAAATATTCATGTAATTTGTTTCATGTACAGCAAATAAAATGAATACTTAAAAGAAATTCTAAAAAGAAAACTAAAATTCTTTTTATATATTTAGGAAATTGCTCAAAAGGAAATTGAAGCATTGCCAACTGACAGTTGTTTCACTAAGCTTCATCCTCGTTGTGTTCTTACCTCACGTGCTCGTGGTAGATGGCGTGAGTTTCGAATGTCACGAATTATATGGCGTCATCTTGCAGATTATAACCAATTATCAGGAGTAGAACGTGCAATGTGGTAGTTCGTAAACTCAAGATAAAACTATTAGCATTTGATTCATAAATTGATGTAACCTTTTTTTTTTTAAATAAAAAAATTCTGTTGAACTGTTGAGTGAACTTAATTTTTGATCACATTATTTTTTAATAGAATTTTTAAGGTTATTTTAAACTCTCTTTGTTAAAAGCAATTTTTCTACGATATAGGAATTTTTCTTATGAGTATAAAAAATTTGACGAACTATTTTTATTAAAAGAATTTAAACTCGATAGTATTCTAAAAATATGCTAAAATTCCTGCTCCAAAAATTTTTGCAACAATCATATAACAATCAATTAAAGCTATTATAAATTTATATTTTATTTTAAATTATAATTAATTAAAGATCATAAAAATCATATTAAAAATTATAATTAATTAAAGTTTTATACAGATTGTAGTTAATTTTATTTAATTATAATCAAAGTTTAAACTTTAAAAAAAAGTGTCCAGAAATATGTTTGCAAATTCAACTCATTCTAACATTCATTTCTGGTTCTCTAGCATTTATAATTGAATTCTATCATTTTGTAACGACTATATTTGATTCTTTCTTGGAAAATAAAGAAATATTCGTTTATTCAGACAAATATTCTTGTTTATTAATATTTTTTCATGGTCTTAATTGAAATCTGTGGATAAGTGCAAGTTCTAAACATACCTAAAGTTATGGAATAATCTTTTCAACAGTATCCTGGGCATTAGAGATGAGATGGACTTAGTCTGACACAGGTTCGTTTATTAAAAAGTTTTTTGAGCTCGGGTGGACTGGAACTCGTGATTAAATTTTGGTTAAACTTTTTTACTGCTTTTAAACAAACATTTAGTTCAGTTATTAAGTTTATAAAAAAAATTTTAAATTATAACATATAAAGAATTAGTAGTCTGCTACTTCCGTTCAGCGCCATTGTTTACTGAGGATTAAAAGTAAGATTTTTAGCTTTAAATTTTAATTTTCTTTATAAAGAATTTATTTTATTCATTTTTGAGTTTTTCTCAGTACTATACCATGTGTTAGACACCGTTCTTCGACTGGTGGATTTGAATGAAATGCGGTTATGCAGGCAAATGACACAGTGGGATATTATATTTAGTTAGGTAGTAAAGAGTACTATCCAGTGTATTGTTATTAATGATGTGAAGCGAGCACCCTTTGGGCGTTAGTGAGATAAGGCTCAGCCTCCAAGTTTATCGTAGTTATTGTCTGTAAAAGTACGTTCAAACAGAAACGTAGAACATTTTATTCCCTTTTTATTATCACCTGCATTTTGCATATTATTAATCTATAATTAAGTAATTTTCATTCATTAATGTATACACAATGGGATGATATATTTAGTTTGGTAGTAAAAAGTACTATCAGGTGTATTGTTATTAATGATGTGAAGCGAGCACCCTTTTGGGGGTCGACGACCATTAGCAAGATGAGGCACAGCCTCCAAGTTTATCATAGTACTTGTCGGTAAAAGTATGCTCGTACAGAAATGTAGAACATTTGTTTCCTTTTTTTATTATCATATGCATTTTGCATATTATTTTTCTATGATTAAGTCATTTTCATTCACTAATGTATATTTTCAAAGGTTAGTCATCATCGTACTAAGGATAGAAGAAATTATCAGACTTATATCTTGGGTTCTAAGTAATCCTATGTGTCTNTGCAATTTTTTTCAATGGCTTTTTTAAAAAGTAAACTAAATTGATAAGAAAAATAATTTGAAAAATCATGTTTATTATTTCACTTTAAGTTTTTTTTTTTTTAATTTTTTTTCTTAACATAAACATAAGTTGAAATAATAAAATTTTCTCATTTTTTCTTGTATTTTTTATCAGATGAAAAAATTTATTAAACAAAGCTGTTATCATTATAGAGAAAGGTAAAAGAAACATGACATTCTTAACCTTTGTATATTTTTTGCAAGGTTAGAAATTTAAGTTTAATTAAAAAAAAAAAAGAATTATTTGAAATTTAAAATGTTTATTTTTAAAACCATTTCTCATCTTGCCCAAACTAGTAATGTGATATAGAATAGTTTTAGTCATTAAATAGCACTATTTCATTCCATTATATAAAAAACAATTATTAAAAGGAAAAATACTAAGTTATTAGAAATAACAATACAATGGAAATACAAACTTTTAATGTTGCTAATCATTAACTCCTAAGTTCGTTACATTCAATTACATGTATAGTATACAATAAAACAAATACATTTATACAATATTTTAAGAAAATACATCTAATTAAGCTGGTAGAAACGACATAGTTATCAATTGTCTGACAATTTCCTCATAATTTCAAAATTTCGAACCCAATTTTAATAAAATATAAAACAAAGTTATAACAAAACAGTGTAGGGAAATATTACTGAAGAAAGCGTGATCACAATTACAATTTAATATTTTTAGACTTATGCTTGTTATCTCAAATTGTACCATATAGGATTCCCTTATATTTTATTTTCCAAATATATCTTTAAAATTGAATTACTTTTTATTTTTTTTATATGTCATTAATTTTTCTGACAAAGAACTTTTTTTTAGCACTTTTTTTTCAGATAACGCATTTAAATATAGTGATTTAACACATTTCAGAATGAGTAATCAAAAAATTACATGATTGTAAAAATTGTTCTTCAAAAACAATTTGTAAAATCTGAATATGATGTATTTAATCTCATCATTGATGATAAATAGCAAATTTTCAACATAAATTAACAGAATGAGAATTTAACCTGGACTAGGCATAGTACCTAAAAAATATAAATATAACTAAAAAACTACACAAGTAACTAGTAGTTAAAAGTGTTAAATTTAGGTTATTAAGTCTGCATACTTTATAAAACTATATTTTACATAAATTTAGCATCATCACCTAACTTACTCATGGAAAGTTGGAGACAAAACAAGCCACATTTTTAAAAGACTGTTTTTACAAAAATAAAAAATGTTAAATCCTAGGAATTTATAAAATACTTACTAAGAAACAATATGACATTTATGAAGTAGTTTTGTACTTACTAAAGGAACAGTGAGATTTAAAGATGTTACCTTCAAAAAAAAAAAATGTTACTTAACTTGCCTTAAAGCACAAACCTTTTATATGTTATAACTTTACTTAAACAAGATTTATTAGTTAATCCATAAAACATAACAAGATTAATTTTAAATGAGATTAATTCTTTAGGTTATTTTAAACCCTGCAAGTTAAATTAAGAAACTTATTTCAAAGCATCTTAATAGAAATAGAGACCCAATTAGTTCTTAAATAAAAAAAATGTATGTTCGAATAATATTAAATAACAATAGAAAAAATTGATTTTAGTTTCCCATACCCTGGCAGATAAATAGAATAATATTATAATAGTATTGTAAGACATTAGAAAAATAATATTAAAATTTGTTATCAACATCATGTTTAGTATACTAAATTTGCCTTTGTTATGTGTATTGTAAAATATTACAATAATGTACAGTTGATGGCAGTTTTAATAGCTTCGAAATGCATTTATCTACTATACTGGTAAAAAAAAAAGTTCCATTTACTGAAATCTAGAAAATGGTGTTCTCTCCTTAGTATATATTTTAATATTCTTGATAAAAAAAAATATATGCAGATTAAGGGGCTCATTTCTCTTTGTTTCGAACAATAATTTAAAATAGAAGGCTATAATTTATATTGTTTCTCTTGAATTCAAAGAGTATTACATATATAATCATACCACTCTTCTACCAACCTAATTTGTCTTACCCAAATGAAAAGTTTTTTCAGTATATTTTAATTTTGCCCAATTTATAAAATTGTATAAACAAAACTTTTGGGTTATCAAATAAAAATCTTTTTCCCAAAATATTAGTTGGTTAATGTTACATCATACTTAATCATCAGCTTTTTGTTCCCGCAATTTAAAAAATAAGATTTAATTAACGTTTTCAAAGTTGTAAAAATTTCATGTGTTGACCATCCACAAAGTGACTGAGTCATCTCATTCATTTTATTAGATTTTCAAAATTTTGTTTTATGAAAAAGAAAAACATGATTACTTAAGTTCCAAATTTATAAGGATATATTAAATGGCCTTCCACTTATTTTCTACATTAAGATGCAGTTCCAAAATAAATCTTGATCAATTAACAATGTAATATTCATTTCCAAACTGATGAACTAATTTATAACTTATTAAAATGCTAAACTGCATAATAAATAGTTACTTCATTTAAAATCATTAAGTTCAGATTAAGAATTATTAAACATAATTACAACATTTAAAAGAATAAAACCTTAAGATTGATCCTTCATAAGAATTGAATCCAATTAAATCTTAAGTAAAATTTTTAAACAGCTAAAAGAAGGATTATTCACTCATTTATAATATTTTTTAAATTTAGATTTCTCTTTTTTTCCTTTCTACACAACATACCTGTATCATTTCAAGATATTTTATAATAAACAGTATTTTTAATACATAGTTCAGTCACTGCTGCTAAATCAAATAAAATAGAATTATAAAAATATATTCAGTTGCGTAATTTCTAAAGTGTGGGACCCCTATATAAAGAAGAAAACATTGCAATTTTTTTCAATGGCTTTTTTAAAAAGTAAAATTTTATTCCCAATTTACCACAAAATAATAAACTACCTTTATCACTTTTTATGTAAGTATATTTTTATGTATATTTTTTGTGAATTACATACATTCTACTTTACTACAATGGCAATTATAACAAGTTTAGAAATTTTATTGTATAAAAAATATAAATTTTTATCAAACTTTGTAGATTTTTTTAAAAATATTTACATATAAATAATATCAGCTAATAATAATTATAATAAGCATGAGATTTTAAATTAATTGGATAAGCAATAATATTTTGACTTATCAATTCTACACTAGCTGAATAATTTATTAAAGCTTTTTTTTTAAAAAAAAATTTTAAATCTCCTAATTAAGACATTTTTGTTAAAAATATTTTTTGACGCAAAACATACACATGAAATATTTTATAAATTTTTAGCATGAAAATGAGTTACCATAATTTATGCCATCATATAGTAAACAATATGAAATATTCATGGATTTTTAAGTACAGAAATTATTTAAGAATAAAAAAAACTTTACCAAACATTATACATCAACATACAATAAAAAAAATATATGTATAAAATGACTAGCAAAAATAATAAATTACATATCTAATCACAGATTACACAATAATTAAAATTACAGTGAGATATACACATTCAAGACATTGCACAAAAAAAAACTTGTAAAAATATCACGTTGTCATTATAAAAAATAGGCACTATAACACCTAATAACATTAAAGTATATACAAAAGAGAAAGTTTTAAATGCAATTTTGTTTCCATTACTATAATCAAATAATACAAAAGAATTTGTACTATATATACTGAATATATTTTTTGGAACACATTTAGTTCATGTAAATTAGATGTATTGATGCCCTGGCTTTAGTTCACCAGGATCCCATGCAGTTGGCATTTCTGGAATATTTTCACCTGAAAAAGTATAACAGCAATTCAAAAAAAAAAAAATTCACAATGGAGATTTAAACGTGATTTAAAAATATCTATATTTGTGCAAGTTTATTTTAATTAGTTTAATAAATCTTGTTTGCATATAATTGTATTTATTAAACTTCTTCTTTCAAGACAGTACAGCCTGTTACAGGCAGACTACTTGGTCTGTAATAGGCTGTAGTGTCTTGAAAGAAGAAGTTTATTAAATTATATATTTTTACATGCAAATATAGGTAGATGCTTAAATATTTTATGATTTTCTTCAAAGTCAGTAAGTAATAATAGTATTAAGAAATGAGTAATCCCTCAAAGTTAAAGAATTCATAATGAAATTTTTTAAATTAGTATCCAAATAAGATTATTTTATAATTGCCTTCTGTGATTCAAATACAACATAAATACTTCCAAAGAAGAATAAAAAACACATTAGAGTTAAAGAATACGGTTTATAATAATAAGTGAAATAAAAAATTGTAATTAATAATATAGGCACAACTATTATTTCATACCTAATCTCGCAGACCAGTGCCTGGAACATATAATTATTATCACTGCAGCTGACACCAAAATTCCAATTATACATATAAGAGCAGCTAAAACAGGGCTGATAGGCATTTTCACTTTATCTATTGAAATTAGATTAAAACATTAGAACAGTATGAGACAAAATTTATAATTATTATTCATTTGAGGAAAAAAACTAAAATTGATAAATTATACTGAGCCAACTTATACACGAGAAAAGGCCAAATGATAATTCATTAAACTCCAATTCAAAATTTTAAAAATTAATTGAGTGGCCTAATAATTGTGAAAAAAACTTTGCGGTTCTGATGATAATTTGACAGGCCATGTGAATAGGCCATCAGAACCATGTGAATTAAAGACCACAATAAGTATTTTTGGTTAATACATAGAAACTTTAAATATACCTATGTTAATTATAGATTAAAAAATATCAATTATCTTTGTATTATTTATAAACATGCTTAAAATAAACTAACTATTACTCTGTACAGGTAATTTCATCAACTTTCTACAACTAAACAATAACATTGGTATTGTGAATGTTAGCAGTGAATGAAGCTAACTCTGTACTCAAAACATATAAGCAATATATAACATTCCTTTCAAATAAAATTGGGTAAGTTGAATTTCAGCGAAATAATCTTATTTATAATTTTTTTAATTTTAATAAGGTTGTTGCTATTTAGTATAAAACAAAAATAATTTATTTCTGTAACAAAATGTTTGAACACTCTTGAGTAATTAAGTCTGAATAATTTTGCATCTGGTTGCATTCTTATAATATCAATCTGTTTATTATATGTTGCCAGCACTGGAACCATATAATAAATACATCAATGCACTACAATAAGAAATAATAACATAAGATAAATTTAGACTTTTTTTTAAACCTGAAAACTGAAGTTTAATTTTAATTAAAAATATTAAGCAAGATTTGGAAATCAGCTGAATGTCACTAAGAATTATAATAAACTTTACTTTTTTAAAAGAACATCCACTTGAATTTAGTTTCTAAACTAACTTTATAAAGTAAATAACTTTTAAAAAAAGAACATTCGAAGTCTAAATTAAAACTAAGTAACACACCTCTTTCAACTTTCTTTACAGATTTTGTAGCAACTGTTAATGCTACAGCATTGCTCCGACCAAGCTCATTAGTAGCAAATACCACAGCAATAAATGACATTCCAGATGGCAGGTCAATTAAATCAAATTCAGGAGTAGTCTTTTCAATGTCTGAGGCGACTAATCCTTGGGAGTTGTACAATTCAAGGTTGAATTTTTGTGGTAAACCCCCATCATAACCTGGATCACAACTAACAATTGCAGAATTCAGAGTTTCATTAGAGACAATACAATCTTCCACAGGACTGGGTACAGCTGAGGGTAAAAAAAAATAGTGTTAAACTAATAAGTAAAATAACATTTTGTGAACTTTAAAAAAAACACACACACCTTTTTTGATTGATATAAATCCTACATGCAACTTACTCAAAACTTAAATACAAAATAAGGCTGTTGAAGAAACAAAATATTTGATTTTTTACTCTGGTTAATGCAGATTTTGAAAAGACAATATCTCTTACCTGCACTAACCAAAGTCAACAAATTTAACATTGAAAAATAATAGCATAATCATTAGCTCACACAAAAGATATAAATTTAATTTCATTCATTAAATAGGGTTAACAATTTCATAGTTGATATACTTGTTCATTCTTCAGAAAATAACTGAATCTAATAAATCCTTTATATTTGGCCTCAAATCATTATAAATGTATATTAATTTCGAGGATATTCTTCCTATAGCAGCTTAGATAACTGGCAATGCTGTTACAATTCGACAGGCCTCTTGAATGTCTGCAAGATACAATAAATTTGCTAGAGTCCTGGAGCATGGGAAAATCCAGGAAAAACATAGCTTCAGAGCACCCTGGTTCCCTGTTCATACTAGAAGCAAATCAATAACATTGTAATTGGTCTATAATTCAATAAGATCATGTATTAACTGTTTCTATTGAAAAATTTTTACCATTGAATGTAAAGAATAAAAGATAAAATATCATCTTATTTGTTTTCTTAATATTAAATCACCTTTTAAATAAATTATTTTAATAAAAATAATTAACTTCTTTTCTTTTTTAGATCAAAGAAAAACATGTTTCAAGCAAATATTCAAAAGAAAAAAAAATATTTTCATTACTAGGCATGAACAAAGCATTATTTTTTTTAAACAAAAAGATACTTGATTCATAAAAATAATGCATATAACAAATTCTAGGCATTTTCTGAAAGAATATCTTGTTTGAATTGAATGTTATAAAATCCCGTTTCTCCATCTTAGTTTTTATTTTAAAATTATTTCTACTTATAGATTTTAACTTATCATTTTTGCCAAAAACTAATGGTGGAGCTTACAATTTTTTCAGTTCAAAATGATATGAAGATATTAAACTTACAAGCAGGAGTCAAAGTAAAGCAACATGCTTCAGTTTGCATGCCAACTTCATTTTCTGCTGCACACATAATATGGCCATAATCGCTTTCCCTTTTTATAGTATAGGAAAGGGTGCTGGATGTACCATTTATTGTAAAACCCTTTAATGGTATCTGGCGGAAAGTGTTATTCAGATACCAATGAAATTTAACGCTTGATGGATTGGCATCAACTAAGCACTCGATTTCTACTGATTGTCGAAGTGCAACTCCATAAGAAGCTCGTTGATTTAAAGCACATTGAGGAACATCTGAAATGTAGTATTTTTGTGCTGATTAAAATTTTAAAAAGTTTACATTAACAGAAAAATGAAATAATTTTAACTAAAATCATAGAAAAATGTAACAATTTCATTACATAATTTTTTTTATATACTATATCTATGATCAGGAATCAATACAAATATGCTATTATGATAATGTTCTTTTACGCAACACATTGGTTTTTAAAGATCACCTAGAAATACTAAAGAAAAGAAACCTTTTCCGCATTTTTAAAAAAAAAAATTTTTTTAAAGTATTTTGCTTTTAATTTTCCCGCCTTTTTCACAGCTATATCTAATTTTCAGTTTTGAAAACTTAATGTGGCAAAATACTACAGATAAAAACAGTTTTTATTAATAATTTTTTACAGATAACTTTTATAAATTCAGTTGAAATTACATCTAACCATAATTTAATAATTGGAATAACCTAGGTAATTCCTTAAAAAAAAAAAGATTTGCAGCCCACCCAACAAAAACGGTCTTAGAATTTGAATTAAACAAAAATATCCAATGTGGCACAAAAATTCTATTGGTCATGTACTCGCTGCTAAATTTTTAAGTTAATTGGATAAAAAATTGATGTTATTCACTTTATAAACACTGTTTTAAAAATTCTCCATTTAAATTTCTAATAAGCTATAAGTGAACATATCTTTACCATTAAGAATAGCTTTGTCACAATCATATTAATAATTTTCAATTTATACTTTTAATGAAACAGTTTTAAGAGTATATAACGTCAAAATGTACCTCTCCATTTTTTTTTAATTGAAAATTATGATTTTTTTTCTTCTAAGAAATGATAAATTGTTTATTTGGTTCCTTTTGAAGCTGTGATATCTAAATGTTATTTACACAAAAATTAATTGGAAAAAAGTCATAAAGAATTTTTTTTTTTAATAAATCTTAATTTTGTTAATTATTGATCAAGATGTTAGTATTGCTCTTGAAATTAGCTCTTTTTTATAACTAAAATAAAAATATGCTTATTGATACAAATATATAATTTTTAATACTGAATTTAAATCAGTATGAATATTCTCATAAATTAACACAGTTTTTGGTGGTTTGATAAATTAAACAAATTAGGTAGAAAAGAACAATTTAGTTTAATTTTTAAAAAAGTAGAAGGTATGACTATAGATATGCATAATGTAAATAATCAAAAGTTAAACAAAACATATGATACTTTATAAAGTATACATATAAATGCAAAATTCTGATGCTTCATTGGTTAATTGCGAACGGAAAAATTCTTTACTTGAAAGTTGCTTTAAGCTTACCCAACTTCAAATCTATAGATACCAGCTTATCTGGAAAGCAGGGCTCGAAAAGCCACCAGTCCTTGACGGTCAAAAATTACCCCGCGGACAATGAATATCTCGAATCCGATGTCCTTGCGGACGGCCATTTTCCCGTTAATGTTCGTGATGCATTTTCAAATTTTTGTTATCTTACAAGAGTCTAGCACATACTGCGCATGGTGGAAAGGATGTTTTCTCTGTCTGGGAGTACTGCAGCGGTTGAAAGGGCGTTTTCAGCAATGAACTTACAAAAAAAAAAAAAAAAACACATTACATACTGGTCTTAAACAAGAAGCGTTAAACGCAATAATAAGCATCTATCTAAATGGAAAACCCCTATCAGATTTCACTGCAGAAACCTCTGTAAATCATTGGCTTGATTGTGGAACTGGCAAATGTCATATTTGATTCATTTAAAAAATGCAGTACCTTTGGATAAATTGACATTCCAGATAACTTGACCTTTGTCATTTAAATCATTTCATAAAACAAATATTAGGTTTTTCTATTAGTAACCTAGTATTTCTTTTATTACTGTATAATGTAATCCTAGTAACTACTAATTCATTGTGCAATTTATATAAATGTTTGTAATAAATAAAAGAAAATTATATTTTTATTTATTTAGAAGTTATTATTCAGTCTCAAAGGAGGACAGGTACATTGTTCGACAAGCCGTCCTCGGGGACCGGAAAAATTTTTAAATTTTTTCGAGCCCTGCTGGAAAGTAAAGGGGGCTAGAGTACAATGCTGATCAAATTGTTATAGGTCACCAGAGGTGAAGTTTTAATCATTACATCACCTCTCTAGCTAAAAACTGGATATTGCTGTAGTATTTTCCTTTTCTTTTTTTTTATCAAAAGGTAAAAATCTGACAATTTGTTTCGATAACGACTATTGAATTTAAAACACCAACAGTAAAAAGTTATAAAGTTGAATAAGTTTTAAACATATACTTCCATTTTTATAATGGATTCATTACAAAGAGAATAACAAATTAAACTTACAGTGAACATCAATAGCAACGCTATCACTGACACCTTCACCCTCGGAATTAGCAGCTACACATGAGAAATTGCCTGAATATTTTCTATTGATATTATGAAAGAGCAACGATCTATTTTGTATTTTAATGCCAGCGTTAATATTGGTGTAAAGTGGTTCATCTTGAAATCTCCATCCCACTTCAGTTACAGACGGATGTGCAATTATGTTACAATCAAAATAAACAGCATCTCCTTCCAGAATGTATGATCGAGGAGTTCCAACTGTCACAGAAAGTTTGGGAACATCTAAAAACGATAATCATGAAGAAGAAATGTATTTTGATGCTAGAATTATAATTTCATCTTAGACAATATTATTTGTTTCAAAAATAATAAATTTTTATTTAGTAATGAAGAAAAAATGTTATAACATTCAACATTTAAATTGCTTGGAGCAACAAATTTTACACTTTTGCAATTGAGATATACAAAATTGAAAAGATTCATTAATTTCAGTAACTGCTATTATGTTTTCAATAATTTTACTATCATGACTTCTGCCAATTAATTTTGGCAAGTACATGTATGTATAATTTTAACTATGTAAATCAACTATGAAATGCTTATTCAGTTTTTATTAACTTGTGAATGAAAATGACTCTAAAACATTTTGAAATCTTTAGAGAATCTTTACAAAGAAAGAAATATTAAGTAAAATTTTTAAAAAATGTTATTGTTTTTATCAGTTGTTTTCTTGGGTAAAAGTAAAAAAACAAAATTCTACTTCCAACTTTTGACCATAGTACATATGAAAAGCTTATAATGAAATAATGACAAGTCAAATAAAAGTAGAGAGCTCATGTTTCGAAAGATCTTAGAAAACACATATACATAATATTGTTTAAAAATGTATAATTTTTGCTGATGCTCTTGAAAATACAGGGTTATTAAAAAAGATGGACCCAATTTTAATAATTGTAAATTATTAAAATTTAATAAAATATAAATTTTATATAAAAATAGTAATGAAAAAAAATAAGGTATATTTTTTTCAGCAGAGGTTTTAAAGTCAGCGCAGAGTCAGCAGAGGCTTTAAAGTCAGAATATTTAACAAAATTTTATTGCATATTTATATTACTTTTATCATTAAATTAACTTTGTATAGATTATTAAGGCTATGTTTTTTTTCCAAAAATATAATTTAATTTAAACACAAAAAAATTGCAAAAAGTGGCTATTAAATGAATGAAAAGGACCTATTTGGTATTGGTCACTAAATTAGGTTTGAAGTAAAAGTGGCTACAAAGTTACTAGAGTCAGCTGGCCATTGACTAACCGAAAATTTAAATTTTCAGGTTTACAGTGCATTACTAATTCGTTTAATTACTAAAATATTTTGTAGCTTTTTAATGTGTCACAATAAGACTTTCACGTGGAATAAGCCTTAAAAAATAGTTGATATTTTTTAATACAAAGTATTGAAAAGTTAATGTGATGAAAACTATACAATTTATAAAAAACAACAAATTGGTAACACTTTTTTAATTTTTTAAAAACTCTACTGTATTAGTTATTGAGTATTAGTTAATTACAAAAAATATAAAATTATAAATAAAGACAATTACAATGCACTTCAAGAACTCTATGATCTTCTAGTATATTTCCATTCATCACAGGATTACTGGCACGGCAAGACAAAGCACGCCCATTATCATCAGATCTAGGCACAAATAGAAGTTTGCTGATTGTTGTTGAATCATATGCGGCTATTGTGAAATTCAGCAATTGCTTACTACCAAGCCACCAAGTAATAACTGCTGGAGGTCTTGAACCTCTGGACTGGCATTTGAGGATTGTGTGGCGACCAGCAGATAATGGACGTTGTAACGTAGTAATATGAACATCTAGTGGTTTTACTATAAAAATAGTTTTACATCAGATACCTCAGTATAGAATATAAAAACACTAGGCACAAAATCAAACAGGTTTAATATGCATGATGCATAACATTTATAATGAGTAAACAAATCTTACATATTTAATTTTTTACAGGCTGTCCTAAATCTTGGATCAGTTCCTTGATTTTATCTTTTCTCAGCTTTTGTGAAACTTTACTTTAAAAAATAATTGTTTCAATAAAAGACCTTGGAAAAATTATAAAAGGAAAAATCATAAAAGAAATTAAAATATTTGTGAAATAACTAGATTATATGCATAAAATGAAATATTATAAAACTTAGTATATTTTACTTAACTTTGTATTTAACATAGCATGTCATTTTATTTAGATCCCATAAATAACTTATTTTTGTTAATAACTATACAATTTAAGAAATTTAATTGTTGAAATAAAAGTGCTGTATTTTAAAGTTTATTCATTTAATTTTAATAGCAGATTCGAGGCAATTAAATCCAATTTTAAAAATTCATTTCTTTACATATATAACTATTTCAAAATTATTATGTGCTTCACATATAAAACAATAAATTAGAGAATCTTAGTTTTTTTAAAAGTAAAACGTATACATTGAAAAATTAAAATAAAATTTGACAGAAATTGGCCCTCTGATTTGGAATGTTGTTTTAACAACTAGTGCATATTACATCTGCAGTGATTACAAATGTGTTGAAGTACAGTACAAAATCCGTTATCCGGAAATCGGAAAACCAAAAAACCGGAACGAAATTCGATACATTTTCCCGACATTTTTTTTTNATGAGTAAGCAAATCTTACATATTTAATTTTTTACAGATTGTCCTAAATCTTGGATCAGTTTCTTGATTTTATCTTTTCTCAGCTTTTGTGAAACTTGACTTTTAAAAAATAATTATTTAAATAAAATAATAATACTAAAAAATAATTATTTAATACCTTAGAAAAATTATAAAAGGAAAAATCATAAAAGAAATTAAAATATTTGTGAAATAACTAATTATATGCATAAAATAAAATATTATAAGACTTAGTATATTTTATTTAATTCTGTATTTAACATGGCATGTTATTTTCTTTAGATCCCATAAATATTTTTTTTTTGTTAATAACTAAACAATTTAAAAAATTAAATTGATAAAATAAAAGTGCTGCATTTTAAAGTTTATTAATTTAATTTTAATATCAGATTAGAGGCATCAATTAAATTAAATTCTAAATATTCAATTCTTTACATATATAACTACTTCAAAATTATTATGTGCTTCACATATAAAACAGTAAATTAGAGAATTTTAGTTTTTTTTAAAGTAAAACTTATACATTGAAAAAATTGAAATAAAATTTGTCTGAAATTGGGCCTCTGATTTGGAATGTTGTTCTGATTTGGATTGCCATTCAATGTTTTTATATCATTAATCATTTAAAAACTTGTTCATTTTAAAAATATAGTACCATCTTATATACGATTATGAATTTTTTTAATCTTGTTTAATGGTAAAATATTTTAAAAAAATAATAATAGAAGTATGCAAACAATAGAATATAAAAAGAGTAGAAGTATTACACATGCATATTCATAAAAACCAGCAAACAACTAGTGCATATTACATCTACAGTGATTACAAATATATTCAAGTACAATAAATATTTGGCTGAAATATTACATGAAGAAATAAAATTAGCTAATTTTTAACTAATCATGGTTTTTAGCAATGAAACCATGTTTTTATCTCTATAGCCTTATTAATTGTTAGAGATTCTCTGTAGATCTGAAAACCATGAATTTTGCAACAGGAAATAAATCAATTTGCATTACAATTTGCAATAACAATTACTACCGAAGTCTAAGTTGGAAATATTAGCAAATAATTAACATGCTAATGAATTTTGCACTTTCATTAATAGAATATGATAAAACACTAAATTCATTAATAAATAGTTTTACAAAAGGAACAAAAAAAAATTCTAAAACACACAGAAAAAAACCCAGATAAATAAGAAACATATCAAGTGTGATTATAAAATATATCTTTATAAAACTTTTAAAAAAATAATAAAAATTAATATTCTTACAATTCAAATCTAAACTAACAGACTTTTCTGCAGGTTCAGTAGCATTAGGTAGCGATGCCTGGCAAGTCAATGTGGACATAAGATCTCCTCTGCTCAAATATGCTAATGTCAGCTCATTCCGAACAACTCCTCTTGGCATTGCAATGAAGCTGTCATCCAATAAATTTGTATCCTTCCACCACGTGAGAACTGATGGATATCCTAGAAAACATTACATAATACAATACAAACAATATGTATATAAGCAGGGGTCTGTTTAGAAGAAATTTGGGTCCGTTAACAGACCTTTCACATAACATCTTTTCATAAAATCGGACCCTTCACAAAATAATTTATCTTTTAATCCGATCCTTCACAAATTTGTTTATGTTCATTATTGTTTTGTTAATCGAATAAACCATTCCCTGGGGGAGGGGAATGAAAGACGGTTCGAACTGAACTAAGTTTTCCAAGTTTCCCTAAGTTTAAATTCCAAATGTAGTATTCTAAGAAATTATTCCTACTTTTACAAACATCGTGTGCACATTCTTTTCTATATTAAATGATAATTTAATTAATTTCTGGCAATTTTTTAAATAAAATATTATAAATTTAAGAATTGCTTAAATTTACTTAATGCGTAACACATTAAAAGTGATCCATAACTAAGTTGTATTATTTAAAATATGTCAATTAAAATTATTAATAATGTGAGAGATTTTGTTTCCATTATTCTTCCGAAATGAATATGTGGCGTAAATACCACAACAAATATTAAAGATCGATTCACCAGTATACAAGACATGTTAACTCGATTCTATCTAGAGGTACCTTTTGATAGATGAAGGTTGACATAGTCTGAGATTAAATCCCTTCAATGGTGACCTCCGGACGTGATAAAAACTTGTCAACATTGTGGATGATCCACATTAAACAGTTGATTTGCTTAAATGTACTACTCAAAGAAAAGAAAGAAAAAAATTCTAAAATCTCCCGGTTAATAAGCAATATTGAAAAAATAATAATGAGCGAAATGTTATTCAGTAGGGAACTGATTATCCGGAACGGTCGGGACCATCTCTATTCCGGATAACTGATTTTTCCGGTTTTCTGAATCGCTACAAAAAGCCGTTTTTTTTTATTGTTAAATCCAACTAAAAAAAAATAATTTTTTAAATAATCTTAAAAATAAGAAAAAACGATGAAGTAATACACTAATGATTATTTCCAAAATGATGGTAAGGCAATCATCTGTAAAAAAAGAAAGAAAAATCGTAAAATCTTACGAGAAAAAAATATTTTTTTTAAAATGGCGAGAAAATTTATCGAATTTTGTTCCGGTTTTCTGATTTCCAGATAACGGTTCTTTACTGTATAGCAAAAATGAAGAAAAAAAATTAATGAGTGAAATGCTATTAAAAAATGTGATTTAACGCTTGAAAGAATGTGATTTAACGCTTATTTTATATTTACAAATTATGAGTAGTTTTTTCACAATTTTACAAAAACAGGACTTTTCACAAAATGTCTGAACAGACCCCTGATAAAAGAATGCATACATGAAAGACTAACATATCACGGGGAAAAAAGCAGTATTTATTTGTTCTTGGTGGCAATGGGAATTAAATGATTTTATTAAAATAACAAAAATACATACATCATACAAGTACTATGTACTACAATGGCCTCATAAAGAAAGTTTACCAATAACAGTTTTTTTTCAAACAAAAATATCAGATCACAACATGCAACCCAGTTTTAGTCCTTTCTACCTTCAGTTGCAACGAATAAAAAGTAAGAAAATACTTAGCTAAATTTTAACAATTTAAATATCATTAGAATTTTAATATTTTGATTCATTCAAACAACAACCAATCAATATCCTTCCTTCCTCAATGGCACGACAGCCCCGGGTGAGCCCTGGCCTTCTCAATCAACTTCCTCCAGGCCTGCCTCTGCCTGGCAGTTGTCTTCCAGTTTGAGACTTTTAAGACTGAAATGTCTCTTTCCATGCAGTCGGCCCAGCTTTGGTCGACCTCTGGGCCTTGATCCAATGGGCTGAGCCAAAAAGATTATGTTTGTCGAACGCTCTCTGTTCATTCGAATGATGTGACCAGCCCATTTAATTCTTTGAATTTTTGCATACTTGACAACATCAGGCTCTCTAAGGGCCCGATAGAGTTCTGAGTTTGAACGTCTGTACCAAGTACCATCAACTTGTTTGCCCCCAAAAATGGATCTTAGGATCCGACGTTCGAAGATTCCCAAGGAATTCTCATCTTTCTGTGTTGTTGTCCAAGTTTCTGAGGCATATGTTAGGANACGTGAGAACTGATGGATATCCTAGAAAACATTACATAATATAATACAAACAATATATACATAAACAGGGGTCTGTTTAGAAGAAATTTGGGTCCGTTAACGGACCTTTCACATAACATCTTTTCATAAAATCGGACCCTTCACAAAATAATTAATCTTTTAATCAGACACTTCACAAATTTGTTTATCTTCATTTATGTTTTGTTACATCGAATAAACCCTTCCCTGGGGGGAGGGGGAGAAAGGCGGATCGAAACGAACTAGGTAAGTTTTCCAAGTTTCAGTAAGTTTAAATTCCAAATGTAGTATTCTAAGAAAATATTTCTACTTTTACAAACATCGTGTGCACATTCTTATTGATATTAAATGACAATTTTTTTTGTAAATAAATAATTGATCAATTTGTATTTATTCATAAAATTAATTAATAGAATATTATGTAAATAAAAATTAATTTCTGGCAATTTCTTAAATAAAATATTATAAATTTAAGAATTGTTTAAATTTACTTAATGTGTAACACATTAAAAGTGATACATAACTAAGTTGTTAAAATATGTCATTTAAAATTATTAAAAATGTGAGTGATTTTGTATCCATTATTCGTCCGAAATGAATATTCTGTGTTGAGCAGAATAGGCTAAATACCAAATATTTGTATGTTGCATCTCTAACTTAGTAGCAGCAATTATTGAGCAGAATCTTGTATCTATTTACAATTTAAAAATTTCTTGAAAAGGTTTTCAGAAATTTTTGCAATAACAGGACCCTGTTTGCACAAATTCACAAAAGAATGTGACATAACACTTTTTTTGTATTCACAAATTATGAGTAGTAGTTTTTTCACAATTTTAAAAAACAAGACCTTTCACAAAATGTCTGGACAGACCCCTGATAAAAGATATGCATACATGAAAGACTAACATATCACTGGAAAAAAGGCAGTATTTATTTCTTCTTGGTGGCAATGGGAATTAAATGATTTTATTAAAATAACAAAACTTCTTGTATGTATTTATACACCATACAGGTACTATGTACTACAATGGCCTCATAAATAAAGTTAACCGGTAACAGTTTTTCTTTTCAGACAAAAATATCAGATCACAACATATAGCCCAGTTTTAGTCCTTTTTACCTTCTGCTGCAACGGATAAAAGTAAGAAAATACTTAGTTAAATTTTACCAACTTAAATATCATTAGAATTTTAATCTTTTTCATTCATTCAAACAACAACCAATCAATATACACATTGAAAAATGAGTAGGTAATAAAGAAAAGAAATAAAAAGTGTTATTTTTATCACTTGCAATATTAATTTTTTAAGCTTTTATATTCAATATTTGGATTTTTAAAAAATATATACTAGTACATATGAAAAATATTACACTTGCCAATTTGAAATCAATACATCCTGTTTATGAAGGAAATACATCAAGTGAGTATAAGTAATAAGACCTAACTCACTGATTAATTGTTTGTTTTTTATTAGATTTAAGGACAAACATAAATAAAGTCATTTGTTCAATATGATTCTGGTTTTCAGCAGTTAGGTACATAATATAAAGTAAGTTCTGAAATATCTTAAAAAATATTTTTTTCAAAAATTAGTGGTGCTGTCAAAAAACCTTGTCTTTGTTGTTTGAGTAGTTAATATTCATTTTAAATTACAATTTCATTTTCAATTAATGCACATAGTTTAGAACAATTGTTATGTGTAATTTTAGGAGAAAAATAATATTTAAAATTGAAATTTTTGTTTAATTATAAGAAAATTGTTTATTTTATATTAAGGACATATATGTTTTGAGAGGAATTTCCTACTATTTTTAAAGGTATTTTTTAGATCGTCAAAACCAAATTCAATAATTTTCAAGAGAAATTTGATAGTATGAGATTTCTTTCATTAGAATAAAGCTGCTTTGCGACAACGGAAATGAAAAGTGGCTTCACGGATTCTAAATTGTTATCCGTATTATACTGCGGTAGAAATCAATATCATACAGCAATTTGTTCTACCTTTCAAAGTAGCTTACCTCCATTGGTTTCACAATATAGAGATAATCGGGAACCTTCATTTAAAGGGCCAACAGTATCTGCTAATGCTTTGCCGCTTTCGTCAATTATTAATACTCGTGATCCTGAAAAAACAAAGAAATTATAGAGTATTATTTTTTGCCAATATTACATATTTATAAAGCAGAATAATATTTTACATAAAATAGAACACAATTTTACCAAATATTGCGATAATAAAATCCAAAAGTAAAACAGCAAGAATGTTTTGCATATCACATTTAAAAACAAAACTAAAATTGATGTCGGATGAACTGACAGGAGAAGAATCAAGCCAAGATAATGGGATCAGCAGAAATCTTTTTTACCAACAAGAAAATAAAGACTCCGTTTTATCAGTTTTCGTACTTAATATACGATACAACTCAGTAATTTTATTTTAAACTGATTAAATTGTGAGTGGTATCGGTTTGAACGCAATGAACTCTTGATAGATTGATTAGAAGAATTGTATCAAAATAAAAAAAGACATCAGCTTCATTGATGTGTTGTTGTTTATTATTGAAGCAAATTTGACAGAGTGACATTTCGTGTTTGGGAAATAAATTAATGCTTTCTTTAGCTTATTCATTAAAGAAAGTTAGGAAAATCAACTATTTTGAAGTCTAATCAATAAGTTAATATGTAGTATTTCCTTTTTACTCTCTATCTGCCAGTTTAATAATATTTAAAAACGAAAAGTTGTTTATTCCAGTAAGTACATTACCTTTCTAGCTATTTTTTAATTAATTTACTCATATATAAGTAAATTATGTTGAAATTTTATTTACTGCTTTTGTAATTGATATTTTACCGTGCATTATTTCTTTTAGTTTGCCATTAAATATTATATATAAGGATAAACCTACGTTAACGCTTGATATGCGTTAAATACTGGATCTGTCTAAAGTCTTTAAAAAAAGGAATTATTTTTAAATTCCCTAAAATATATACAATTTTTATTGATTCCATTGTTTAGTAAACTGATTTACTTAATTTGGGATGATTGTACACAAAGTTCTAATTTTCTATAAGTATTTTACTCCCAATATTTAAGGGAGCCCCTTGGTTATAAAATATTTTCTAGCAGAAATTCCAAAGGGAATATTTTCATATTGGTTTCATCTCGCCAAGAAGCCAAAGGGAACTTCGAAAAAGCTTTAAAAAATGTATAGAAGACTGTCCAGGGTCTCTGTTAGTTATATCTTTAGAGTTGGACCTCTCTAGCAAGTCTGATTTTTATTAAGTATATTTGTTTCCTGAAAAAAGTACTTTTATTTTTTAAGACCAACAGGCGACAGACTCACACATTTACTCATATTATGATTTTTTTTTATCATGTTTTGTCCTTGATGCAAAGTAATGATATTTGTATCTAGATTACAATTTTCAATAATACCTAATATTTCTTTTGAAATTAAAGTGATTGTGTTACATGCTATACTTGTCAATTCATGTACAATTAAGTTTTTTTTTCTTTATTTAACTATGTATCCTAATTTTTTTTTAACACTGGCTAATTTTTTAAACTGTTAACGTTAAAAAAAAAAACAATTTAGTCAGCAAACAAGTAAATTTGTTAAGGTTATTAATCATCATCACAAACTGAAACTGAGTGTGCCAGAAAGTAATAAGAGGTAAAAAAATTTTTATCTGAAAATCAAACAGGGCAGTGCTTAGCAAACCCAGATTAAAATTAGCTCTAGCAACTACAGAAGAGAAAAATAAAAAAAAGAAATACTTTATTCAAAAATTATACGTAAAATCAGAATTATTCTAAAAGTTGCGTATAATCATTGCTTTATAAGCATTTTTTTAAAAAAATTGGAGTTTCGGTTAGTTGGAAAATGAATTTAAAGCAACTAAATTCGGATTCTATCAGAGATCAAATTTAAATTTGAAACAGCAAAACAGTTATGATATTATGTACTTAACAAAAAGGCAAATATTCAATTTAACAGTTTTTAATATTTTAAAATGTTAAGTGTTTAATAAAGGCCATGAGTCCAATGTTTAAAAACAATTTTTATTCTATGTAACTTTTAGAAAATTATTTATTTCTAATATATTTCCTTTAACATAAGTGCATTTTTTTACTACAAGTTGTCCTTTAAATGAATTAAATTCCTTTTTTCTATCATTTACTCATTTTTGCTAAAAAATTTCCATATCTGTATCTGTTAATGCCAACTAGAATTGACAAAGCATCAAATGGTTTTTTTTCTTTAATTTTTTTATTTTAATGCTTGCCTGCAAGGTGACTGAGAATTAAACTCTTTAAAATTGTTTCCTTCTGTATAGATTTTTTAGCTTTTCACATGCTGCTGCCTAGTTGTCGCCAAAGCTTTGCGGTGGCCTTTATGAAAATTTTCTGTTTTTAGATTTAAGCCAATTTTTCTACTTAAAAATTTAGTATTCAGAGTGCCCGACATGGAGCTTTTGGTGTCTGCTAAAACTGTTCTGATGATGCTATTTGAAAACAAACAGAAAATTTTGATTGGTTTTAATCTGAAGAGAAGAGGGGAGGTATTTTTATTCTTCACCTTTTGTTGTAAATAAACAATTTTGTGTAGAATTTAAATGTTTAGAAAACAAACTTTTCACTTTACAAATTATTTTTCAACACTGCACCGTCAGTATTTTCTTAATCCTTTTACATTTAAATAAAAATTCATAGAAATTATACTTTTAGAAATTGAACATTAGTAGTTTAATTTTCTGAAAGTAACGCTTAAAATAATGATTCACATGAAAAATATGAATTGATTCGAAACAAAAATCAGCATTTAAACGATTAACAACCATTAACTACTCTAAGGTAATAAACTTTTCAGCTCCGCCGGAACATATTCTGGTTTGCCTTGAACTTTATAAGGGGGATCTTACCTCAGATCTCTTTTTTCTTGCGATAAGCAACCTTCTGGAACTTATCTGACATATATCAGATTAAGAGGATAAGCAACAATAAACTTCTAACATTGAAAAATTTGGAACAAGCTCCAAAAGCTCCATGTCGTGGAACAGACCCATTCATTCTAAATTTACCCCACACCATAAAATCTGAAAAATTAATAGCAAATAACTAGTGAGATAAGTATGATTTATTTAAAAATTTTCAGTCTTCTTCCACCCATCAATAATCAACGATGTCTTCTTTGATGTCTGATCTTCTTTCATTGCTTGAAACTGAAATTCCTGAAGGTCGTAAAAGTTTACAAGATAGTTATGTGAACCTAGAGAAAGTGGCTGTTTATTGTGAGTCTAACTACTACTTATCACCGAACAAGAAAAGTTCCCTTGATGAAACGAAGAATTTTACAACTCAAAGTTTAGCGAGTGTTGCATATATGATTAATTCTCTCTCCTATAACATACTTCATGTGTTAGATCTTCAAACTAGTCAACTTGCTGAAATGGAATCACAAATAAATCATATTACGCAAGTAAGGTTTGTTTTGTTTTCAATTATTAATTTGGTTTTGGCATGTTTTTCTTGTTTCGTATAAAAACTCTAAGGTAAGTGATGTTATTGATATGTTATGTTTAAATTATTATTATTATTATTTTTTTTAGTATGCAATACATTAAAAAAATGTTTTAAAATCAATAAAATGCAGGTTTGGCGTGATTTAAATCATGATTCGAATCACAATTTAAATAACTTGATTTCTTTTTTTAAAAATCATTGATTTAACTTAACTGTTATTTTTTTAAGAAAATCATTAATTTAAACTAATTGATTTTTCAAAAAATAAATCATTAAATATTTTTATAAAATATTTAGAGTATGATTCTTATTAGTCTATAATTCATGATAATGGTTTTATCTATAAAAAAAATAATGAAAGGGTAAATTATTATATTTCAAAAAAGACTGATAAATAAGTAAAATTAGAGACTAAAACTGGATAATAGGTAGCATTAAACTGTTAATATGCTAGTAATAAACTATTTCAATTATACCCATTTAGTTTTATGTTTATTTGAATATTTAAGTGCTTTTAAAACACATTAACTATGTAGTTAATGTTACCAATATTGAAGAAAGACTTCTTCTGCCCAGAGAAACTTACAATTATTTTTTTCTTTCATGTATTCAGATGTAAATTAATTTACTCTTCATTGGATATCTAACTGATTAATTGTCTCCTTGTCATTAAAATTTTAGGATGTTTACTTTGAATGAAAATAATCGTCATTTTATTTATTCAGCTATTAGTTTGTAAAAATTTAAAAAAAAACATTTCATATAAAAATATCAGTTATAAAATGTTTAATATAAAACTATTTTTTTCTCAGAAATCATAAATTTTGCCTACCCTAATCAAATATGTGCAATTAGAAAATATGACAAATATTTATTTACCTTTATTAAATTATTTTATATTTAGAGGCAGTCAACATATAAAGTAAGATTAAATCTAATTATTAGCCATTACTTTTACAAAAGTATAGTATTTTAATATTAAAGTTGTAATTAATTATTCCACAAGTTAGCAATTAGTCAAAAAGGCACATTAAAATTATTGCTTGGTTTAATAAGATGTTTTATATTAGTCTTTTAATGTATATTACATATTTGATAAATAGGCATGTAGTAGATATATATAAGAGTGATTCTCACGAAATATGACAATTCACTGTCCTTTGCTCCAAGGTCTAATACTAATAATACTATAATACTAAAAGAACTTTTTTTAAAAAAAAAATTAATAAATAGCATTGTTGTTAGCATATTAAAATGACTTTGCACTAGCATTGACTGTTTTGTATAGTTAGAAAATTTAATTGAACTTCAAAATGTCATTTTCCTGACATGTCCCAAATAATGTTTCCAATAATAACTAGCTTCAAAACTTCCCATAAATTTTTCAATATCTGCTTTTTTTTTTTTTTTTTATCTCAACCAGTGTAAACATTTCTAGAATATACGCAGAAGGTATTATTTACTAAAACTTCGTTTAAAAAAATTTTTTCTGTCAATAATTTGTTTGTCCCAAGAAAATCTGTCATTTTCCTGGCTACTTTTATTTAGTGGTTTATAACCAAAATAGATAGAGCCAGCAATCAATATTTTATGTTAATAGATTGATTAGATGCCCTTCTATATGAACATGTCTTGTTGCATGAATTAAGAACCAATTTTTTGGTTCAAAATCTATTTCAAAAAATTTTTCAAGGTGAGTAGGTTTTTGTGTTGTCATTTTCCTGGCTTCTTGAAATCATTAAAAACCTGTTGTTTTCTGCAGAATATAAACGTCTTAGGCCAAAATATTAAATTAAAGTAAGTTATATGCTATAAAATGGCGAATTTGTCATTATCTTGGCTGTCATTTTCCTGGCTTATGAATACCAGAACATTGAAGTGTTGCCAGGAATTTTTTTTAACTGCTAATACTGTAAGGAGGGAAAGCAAATATTGTCCTAATATCAAGTGTATGTATGATTGCAATATGCTTGAGTGTAATCAAAGTTATTTATCTTATGATTGATTATTATACACAATTTTATTCAGCACCAAAAGTTTTTTTGATTCTTCCTACAGGGGATAAAAAGAATTAATTTAAGCAATTTATGGTCCATCTAACATAAAGGCCTAAGTTGAGTTACCTACTATTAATTTAAAATGACTGTTTTTTAAACTTCTAAGCTAATATGTCATTTTCCTGGCATTCAAGATTTGATGAATTTCTACTTTATTTTTTTTCTCGAGCAAATGTCAATAAACTACACTGCTGCTTGTAAGATATTAATAAATGTAACTAAAGAAGTATACAAAAAAATTTTTTTATTATTTTCAAGACTTTAAATTTGAAGAAACTTTTTGGTCCGAATTGTCATGTTTAGAAAGAATCACCCATATATATATATGTAAAATGATGCAGTCGGACCGAGCAGGAAAACAGACACAGGATTTTAATTAAATCAGAGTAACTTTTATTTGAACATTCTTAGTTGAGTGGGAACGAAGAAGTGATGTTTACTCCATCAGCAAACAGTCTTTCTGGTAGGGAAAATCTTGCAAAAAATCCTAAAATGTCTCTATTTAGGGAAAAGAGGGAAAACTCAGAAATTACAATTNCCGAGTTTTCTTCTAAATTTGAATTTAAAAGCCTGTTTGTTAAATACATGTTAAATAGCATTTTTGACCAGCAAAAACATTATCGAACTATTTGAATTATATTTTTTATTTATTGGACAGTTTTTAGAGATGAAACTACAAAATTAGTTTGTAAGAATTAAAAAAAACATTTCGTATAAAAATATCAGCTATGAAATGTTTAAAAAGAAACGATTTTTTTCACAGAAATCATAAATTTTGCCTACCTTATCAAATATGTGCAATTAGAAAATATGACAAATATTTATTTACCTGTATAAAAATATTTTATAATTAGAGGCAGTCAACATATAAAGTAAGTTTAAATCTAATTATTAGCCATTACTTTTACAAAAGTATAATATTTTAAGATTAAAGTTGTAATTAATTATTCCACAAGTTAGCAATTATTCAAAAAGGCTCATTGAAATTATTGCTTAGTTTAATGAGATGCTTTATATTATAGTCTTTTAATGTATATTACATATTTGATAAATAGGCATGTAGTATATATATATATCTCAAGAGCCAAAACATTATGACCACCTCTTAATAACGAGTTGGCCCACCTATAGCCCTCAACACAGCTGCATCCCGCCTTGGCATGGATGTCACAAGTCCTTGGTGGATGGCTGGAGACAGATTGTACCAGATGCTTAAGCAATGATCACGCAAATCCGAGATATTGCGACTTAGGGGTCTTTGAACTCTGAGCTGCCGTTTCATGTCATCCCAAATGTGTTCTATTGGATTGAGATACTGTGAGTTAGGCGGCCAAGACATTAACTGGAATTCAGTATCGTGTTCCTGGAACCACTCCAACACAATTTGAGCCTTGTGTCCTGTTGGAAAATTCCATTTCCAGTTGGAAAAACAGAGGCCATGTAAGGGTGCAACTGGTCCGCAATGATGTTGAGATACACTGTAGCATTCATGGTCGGCTCTACCACAACCACGGGTCCCAGAGACGCCCAAGAGAACGTCCCCCAAAGCGTAATACCGTCACCACCGGCCTGTGTATGATCTAATGTACATTGAAAGAGCAACTGTTCGCCTGGAAGACGGCGTATCCGGACACGGCCATCGGCGTGATGAATGACAAACCGTGATTCATCTGACCAGGCAACTCTCTCCCACTGATCCATGGACCAGTCTCGATGTTCCCGGGCTCAGCGCAGGCGTAGTTGGCGATGACGCTTGGTCAGCAAAGACACACAAGTGGGACGTTTGCTGCTTAGCCCAACATCCAAAAGTGTTCGCTGAACAGTGTGCTCTGATACTATTCTACTTGACCCTGCATTGTATTGGGCTGTCAGCTGAGCCACTGTCTGGCTCCGGTTTTGCTTCCCTAAGCGCGACAATCTCCTACGACCTTTTTCTTTGATAGCGTGTGGATGGCCAACACCATGTCGTCTGTTGCTGGTTTCACCATCATTCATCCACTTTCCTTAAGTACAAGCAACTGTAGATCGTGAACAACCCGTGAGTCGTGCAGTTTCGGAAATACTTGTTCCGAGCCTTCAAGCCATTACAATCTTCCCTCTATCAAAGTCGCTTAGATACACAGCCTTTCCCATCACACACAGAAGTAAGTGAAAGAATGATTCTTCAAACTCTTCTGCAACATTTAAATACCACTTTCACCTGATCATGTGCCTTCCACTTCATCCAGGAGAGTTCATTGCATAATGTAGCGGTGGTCATAATGTTTTGGCTCTTGAGTGTATATATATATATTTATATATATATATTTGACTAAATACATCAAGCAATGAGAATTGATGAAAAAAATTTTCCCGTACCCTCTCTCTAGCTCTTTCTCTGCCGAGTTTTCTTCTAAATTTGAATTTAAAAGCCTGTTTGTTAAATACATGTTAAATAGCATTTTTGACCAGCAAAAACATTATCGAACTATTTGAATTATATTTTTTATTTATTGGACAGTTTTTAGAGATGAAACTACAAAATGTTTTGAGTTCTTTAAAGAAAGACTTTGCACTTAAATTAGATGTGTTAAAAAAACCAGTTTGCACTTATAGATAGAAATTAGATTTTTAATTTAATAAAATTTGCATGTTCTAATCATTTAGCACATTTTTAATACAGAAAGAACTTTTTTGCCAGTCTAATATTTTATTCAAGTATTATAAGCTGAGTATTTTAGTGATATACTATTTTTATTTGTAACATTTGTTGTTATCTAAAGTCCAGATTTGTAACCTTTTACTTTTGAAATCACTACTTGTTTTATAAAAGAAGTTACACAAAGTATTATTTTTTTCTGATTTTCAGACTGTAAATATATTTAAAGAGAAAGTTGCTCGAAGAGAAATAGGAGTTTTAACGACAAACAAGAATACCGCAAGACACCATAAAATCCTTGCACCTGCCAATCAAGAACGTCCTGTTAAGTACATAAGAAAGCCTATTGATTACCAAGTTTTGGATGATATTGGTCATGGTGTGAAAGCCACAAGCAATACACCTAGATCAAAGAGAACTTTAGCCCCCATTCAAAATCCTTTGAATGGTGCCAGTGCTGGACCTGCTCCAACTACAAAGCCTCCTACTCCTCCGCAACCAGTTCGTGCTGGAGGTGGAACCCTTTCTCTGTCACGATCAACAAAAGAATATCGTACACCTCATCCTCCAATTGCACCTCCTCAAGTCCCCAGTAACTATGCTCCAGCAGGCGTCTTAAGATCCCAAGAAATCAGAAAGGGTAGTGGCTATTCAACACTTCCAATGTCTCTTCCATCATCTCAAATTTCCCAAAGTCTAGCTCTTTCTCAGCCTCCTGTTGGAATGGTTCATCCAATGACATCCAGTCACGGTCCTGCGTCTCCTGTTCCTCCACCTCCTTCTGATATACATATGACCGAAAGACTTCCTGGTAAAACTAGCTTAATCAATTTTGATTTATCTTTTTGCTAAAGCAGAGTTCTCTCTAGGANTTTTAATTTTTTTTTTTCTTTAGAAATGGTATTGAGAATATTCAATCATGATATTCTACAAGTTTTTATTTGTATTATTACAAATACAGTAGAGAACCATTTATCCGGTATCCAGATAACCGGGAAACCAGAAGATCGGTTTTCCCGCCATTTTAAACTAGAACGATTATGAAAAAAAGCGGAAATGAACTTATCCTTGAAGTTGAGTAGAGGAAAATGTAAGGAAGGGGAGAATTTTTTTCCCCGTTTACCCAGAGAAACGTCATTTCCTCCGTGACTTTGAAGGCAGGGAAGGGAGGAATGTTTTATTTTCTCCTTTAGGCCGTCAATCAAGCTCAAGGGTGTGGCATGCTGATTTCGTTTTCTGTTTAATTTACGAGGGGGGTGGGGAAAATGCATTGCATGCATATCAGTGAACAGAAGATGAAAGAGAAAAATTTATTTATCTATTTGACATCGATTAATAAAAATAAAATCTTTTTCTTCTGAATAAATTCAAGTGCGGTATCATTTGCAAGTTTTTATTGACGTGGAATCACATCTGCTGTAATTAAATATCGTGTTTTTATCAACAACAAAAAAATAAATAAAAGGAGAATTGTTTATTAATTTAAACATAGGATTATTTTATGAAGCAGATTGCAGCTTTGTTTTTCTGATTCCACTATGTTTGATTTTTTTTCTCTTTTCACGATAAATTTCGCACTCAATAAATTAATTCTTTTTATTCATAAATTTTATCATTAGATTTATTTTAAAATTCCGTTGATCTTGCCTTGTTCCGGGTTTCAATATTTATGCTATGCCTTTTTTAACTATCGTTTCGATAATTTTCAAGTGTTTTTATTTAGATTAATAAGTTCTCCTTTTATTTTATCGTTTCCCCCGTATAATTAGGTATGAAATATATTGCGTTATTTAACCAATGGTTTTGTTTATATTAGTTAATTTAGGAATTGTAATTATTTTTAAAAAATAAATACAAGAATTTTGTATTTTTTAATCTTGTTTTTCTTGTCTAAACTTGCAAATTTTTTTATTCTTAAATGTTATTTTTCTACCATTCTTTTCTTCTTTTTAAAGTTATGAGTACCTTTCTTTTTTCCCTTACTTTATGCATTACACTTCCTCCTTGTAATTCGGGTTCGATAAAACATCGATTAACAACACTTTTTGGTCGATCCAGAAAACCGGGAAATTCAGACATCCGGGATAGCGATGGTCCCGAGCATCCCGGATAATTGGTTCTCCACTGTAACTTAATTTGATCCTCAATTTTTAAATTATTCTTCTATATTTTATAAGTATCTTTCACACAGTAATTCTCACTCATAATCAAAATAACAGAAACCTTTTAAGCTTTTGAAAAATAATTGAAGGCAAGCTAAAAAACTATCTCTGTGTATTAACTTTCTTCTTCTTCAAAAAAAAAAGTAAACTAAAAAAGAGATCAATTGATGAGCAACTTTAATTTTTTTTTTTTATATTTTAAACTGTAAATTATGAGAAGATAAATATTTAAAAGTCATTTTTAAATAAGGTCGTCGGGTTACCAAAGCAGGGGTGCCAACCCCTCTGCAGAGGATCAAAATTGTGATGGCGTGTCTTCGGATCATCCTCAGGAATGTTTCCCAGACTGTCGGCAATAGCTCATTGTGCAGCTCTAGTGCGAAGTAAATAAACTACTACAACTAGTACATTTTTAAATATTAAACATTTTTAGACTAGACTACTAGACAACAACTAGAACATTTTTAATTATTTAAAAAATAATCGTAAAATTCAAAATCTCTAAAAAATTCATTAAAATATTCCCCCAAGTAAAAAATATGAATATCTCTGGGGCCGAATATCATGAAAATTTTAATGGACAACTTAAGAAAAATCTTACTAAAATGATGGAATGAAATTAAATAATTATCAGTAACTAAATAAATCAGAAGTGGACTTTTCGTTAAAACAGGTGGTTAAGAAAACACTTTTTCCAGAAGAAAGGCAGTGTTATAAGGGATGACGGCTTATTTTTACAAAAAGGGCAAGGGGGCGCATCTATAGGGATCAAAGAGCAGGTGAGACGGGCCGCCGTTTTAAATATGCTTAGGGAGAGCAATGGCTGATGTTTATCAGTGACAAGGTTGTATACAAGAGAGTGAAATTAGTTGCCATAGGATGCAGTCTTAAAAGATCCTTAGGAGATACTTGTAATTGTTTCAAGGTTAATTATAAATTATACCTTGATTTTCTGCTATTTACGGAAGTTGTGTCCAGCCTTGATCATTGGATTTTGATCGAAAAAAGTTCATGCTCATTAGCTCAGAAAAAGTTCGAAGTTAAATCAATTTAAAAGTTAATTTTGATTTTAATTATGTACACGCATTTTTAAATTGTGTTTAAAGTTTCCCCATATAATTATGTAGCTTTCTATTAGGTTTGTTAGAATTTTTTTTTAAATGTAACTTTTTAAACTTTACAGATTTAAATCTTATCCTAAATTAGGTCAACTAATATTTTAATTTATAGTCAAAAGTTAATTTTATAAAAATATTTAAATTTAAACAAAGGAACTATTTTTTAAAGCTTTTTATGTGTATAATACGAATTAAATAGTTTTTTTTTAACCAATAAAAGCTTTATTTTGTTTACTGAATTAATTTAAATTAGACACTTTAGGATAATAATTAGGGTTTTGATTCTAAGTAATTTATAAGTCCTGAACATGTCTTTTTAGCACATGAAACTTTCAACGACACCTAATAAAAACTTGCTTAATAAACCAATAGTTTAGTGCTCTTTTTAACAATATTTTATTTGACTCCCTATAGTAGAAATTGCATTAAAAAAATTGTAACTTGCTTTTAAATTAATTTTGAGATTATATTTTGTCCTGATAGAATGTTTTGTTGAGATTGAATGTATCCTTTAATATTTCCTCAGAAAAAAGCCTATTATGACTTTATATGTTACTAAACCTTTGACAAATGAAATATTGAATGAATGAAAACAGAGAAAATTTTATGGAAAAAAGTGTTAACATGTACACTTTATTTTTATTAATGATAAAATTGAGTTACTTTTTTATAAATAAAAAATTATTTTTATGCAACATAAAACTTCTTTTTTTATGAATAATAAAGCAGTGCTGGTTATTAAGAATATTAATTAAACTCCACAGTTATTTAATTTATGTCTTTGATTCTGTAATTTGAGTATTTTAAGTTATTTTTATGGTATATTTTCTGACTAAATATTGAAATATTGATTGTTTTTATAGAACCACCCATTCATGTTGCATGGAGTGATCGTCCTGGAAATAGTAAGTTGCTTTTATTATTTATTAAAATCTCAGATTAATAATAAGTTTGCAATATTTAAGTAGTTTTTAATATGTTTAAAACTTTTTTATCTGAGCATTTGCAGAACAATAGCAACTGTTTCATTTTATGTTATTATAAAAGATAGTGTTTTTTATTTCCAAACACAACATTTGACTAGATAAGTTAATGTTTTAAAGTATCATTAATAAAGAAGTTTTAAAAGAAAGTTTCCTTAGATATTGACAATTTAAAAACTTGATTATTAAGATATTGTTTAAAGAAGTTTATAAAAGCAATAAATTCTTTAAAAATTTATGTTTGTTTAAATCTTAATTTTTGCCTGACAAACATGGAGGCACATAACAGCACTTCTTTGTAAGTTTATTCTAATTCAACTTCCAACAAAATTTATACTGTGCATATTCAGAAATATGGAGATGGTTAAGTTTGTGTATAAATATATATAAAATAAAGCACTTCTGCTACATCCAGTTCTTGATTGTAAAAGTCACAATTTTAAGATCAACTGAATGATGTGTCAGCATTACCCATTACCTGCTTTTACTTCTCAGTATAGCATGTACCCATTGATTGATATATAGTTATTTAAATAATTCTATATTATACAAATTTTGCTTGTAAAAAAAATCAACTTTTGGTTAATCATATTTGTTTTTTATTGACCTATAAGATTTTCAGAATACTGTTTTATAGTAATTGGTATTTGATAGAATTACGTATGAAAAAAAAATTTTTTTTAAAGGAATAATACTATTGAGACCTGAACTTAATATAATCATCATGTCAGTCACTATTTAGGCTTTCTTCACCCACTGCAAATAATTATTATGCATAAAATTGTATTTTTGAGGAAGCTAAACGATTTTTGAAAGAAATTTTTTTTTTTTGCACCAACTTAAAATTGTTGTCATTAGTCTGAACATTCATATCATATTGAGTAGTTCATTTTCATGCACAGTTCTTTTAATTCTTAAATAAATAATCAAAACTAAGTTTGAAAACATCTTTAATTTTATTTTTTAACCATTTTATCATAATTTTTATTTTATTTCCATTAGTCTCACCACCATTGCCACCACCTCCTAAGGATGACAACTACCATGACAGTTATAACCCTCCTTCACCACCTGCATTTATGAGAAGAATGGAACCCGATTGGGTACCCAAAAATTTTGTGGAAAAAGGTAACTGTAATCATTGTCTTTACTGCTATTACAACAGAATACAGAAAATATAAGATTCTCTAATTACAAGGGGTTCACAAAAAACATTTTTAATTTGAGATGGATACAGTAACAATTTAATTTGAAAGAGGCATAATTATTTAAAATTATTTGATATGTGCATTAATTTGTATTGTGTATTAACAACAGCATATATTTCAAGGCTAATGTCAAGCTGAATAAATAAAAAAAAATTATAGAGACTAAAACAAATATTTTTGGTATGTATTACTATTTAAAGTATTGAATTGATAGTTTTCACAAAAAGTCATTTATTTGGGAACATTGCTATAGTTCTGAAAATTTATCATGCTGATTTATGATCTTCGTTATCATTAATGTATCAAAAATTATCGCAAAGAAATAATCAGGATAATTTTAAATAAAATAAAAATAATTTCTTAGTAGTTATTTATAAATATCATAACAATTCCCAAACTTTCCCAAGTTGCAGCACTCTTATGGTACTTAAAATTATCTTATAGTACCCTAGTCATATGAATTGTTTGACTGTGGTATATTATATATTGTACACATCATGTATATTTCATATATATAAAATAACAGAAACATAATATTATTAAACATATGTTTCTGTTATCTTATATAACAGATATATAAATAGGATTATAAAAACAGAAACTATGGGTGTAAGCAGGGAGAATATGAACTAATATCATTCACATTTAAAATCCACTCAAATAATTTGATTGATATTAATTAGAAGTTATAAGTATAAATAATATTAGAAAAAAATATAATAAAGCTGAATTATTATCCACACTTAAGGGTATTGTCAGTTCATTCAATGTGATGAGCGAGTTTGTATCTCATTGTAAAACTGTTCAAATACTAGAATAAGTTTGATACAGCTACTTCTGTTTATTTTGCCCTGTTTATTTTTGAGCAATATTTATTGATTAGAAGAGCTGAAAACCAAACTTTGCACATGCAAAGAGATTGAAAACCCTCATAGCTTTTTTACTTAGGACGGGAAACTCATTTCTTACAGATATCTAACGCTGAATCAAGTTTACCTTGAAACTTTCTGCTCTGAATAAAAGAAGCAGGAAGTTCCAGTTGGGTGGTCATTTGAACATGGAACCCCCAATGTTGGCATACTTGGTACACATTTTATTTACCCACTTAAGGGACAAATGGCAGAGTCAATCTAGCCCAATCTGAGGATTATAATGCAAACTTCGGGCACAGCAGCATGAGGCACTATCACTCAGCGGCCTTGCAACAAATTATTATGAAAGAATTCATCTTAAACTTTGAAGTTATGGTCATTATATGGTGCCTTAGGATGCTGATGTGTGTTTATTGTGTGCTCATTCTTTGTATTGTTTTGAAAAATCTTGTATTGTCTAAGTGCTCCCATCTTTATTATAAATCATCACAGCAACTGCCATAGCTGATTGGCAGTTGCAGTTGGAAGCAGCAATGTAAATTCTTTTTAGAGTATTATTTACATTTTTATTGGAAAAGATCAAAATGTAATTAAAAAATTTAATTTTATCACTTATTCAATGAACAGAAGTAATACTTGTAAAGTAATTTTAATTTTTTTTCTTTTTTTAATCCTCTAGTAAACTTGAAAGTTTTTGATTATAAAAAATTATTCCGATTATCTCTTTGAGATAATTTTTTTAAGTATTTATTCAAAGTTTTGATATATTTCTAACAGTGACAATAAAATACATAAATCAGCATGGTGAATTTACGTATAACTGTTCTGATAGTCTTAAATAAAAGACTTTTTACAAAAATTATCAATTCAATACTTTATAAATACAAGTTGAAAATGTTTGTTTTAGTTTCAGGAAGGTTTTTCATTTATTTATTCAATTCAATATTAGCCAGCCTTAAAATATAAAATTTATTATTATTAAAAAATAAATGCTGTTACATACTTCTCAACTAAAATTAGTTTATACATATCAAGTAATTTTTAAGAAACATCCCTCCTCCAAATTAAATTGTAATGATCTCAAATTATAAACAATTTTTGTAAACACCTTGCAGTTAGAGAATCTTATATTTTTCATAATATTTTTTAAAAAAATAATAAGTTCGTGGAATTATTACACCATGATTTGTATGCATAGTTAAATTTTATCTATTTAAAATTATCATATCCTTAATAAATTACATTCTTAAACTTAAAAGTCCAAAAAATGCAGTTTGTTACTTTCTAATAAAATTTTGATATATTTTTTACATTAAAGTATTACGTACTTCGGAGTAAAATTTCACACAGTTGGTATTAATAAATCTTTCCATAAGTTATAATTGACTTATTCTTTTAACTATGCATTAATGTTTTAAAGTTTAATTATAATAGTTAAGATAAAAACATTTTATAGATTTACTCATAAATTACTTTGAAGTGAATGACTTATAATTTCACTATTTTTAAATGTTAATATTTTCCTTCAATCTTTTCTCTTAAACTTGGTTAAAAATCATTAAAACCCTATTTACTGTGAATTAAAGTAATGAAAACTATAATTAGTTTTTAAAATTGTATGAGTAAAACCTTATTTACTATGAATTATAGTAATCAAAACAAAAATGTTGAATATATTTTTAATACCATAGTACTATTTCATTTTAAAAAAATATTATTTATTAATTTATTTTACTACTTTTTAGTTGTAGCTATTTATGATTATTGTGCTGACAAAGAAGATGAACTATCCTTCTCAGAGAATTCTATAATTTATGTTGTTAAGAAAAATGATGATGGTTGGTATGAAGGAGTCATGATGAATAGTGCAGGCGGTGCAGTGACTGGCCTTTTTCCAGGAAATTATGTAGAGCCATGTTTATAAACAGGAGAGAACATGTGGTTTGCATGAAAAATTCTTCTTCATATAAAAAGAAAGATACATATTCAAAAATGTGTGTTTTTTAAATTTTTCATTTGTGCAATTTGTTGAGCTTTCTCATTTGTTTAAAAGGTAAACGTCATGAGCTATTTATTTCATATTGCTAAAATATTTTGTGCGAGTAGTTTGAATTAATTAGGTTAAAATTTAATTTTTCATACACTTAATTTTCAAGGAAAGAAATACTGCCAAAATGCTACTCATTCTTATTTATAACATAGATTATTCATTCAAATACTTGACTATATTTTTATGAATTTTTTCAATTGTGCAATTTGTTGAGCTATCTCATTTGTTTAAAAGGTCAACGTCATGAGCTATTTATTTCATATTTTTAAAATATTTTGTGCCAGTAGTTTGAATTAATTAGGTTAAAATTTAATTTTTCAAACACTTAATTTGCAAGGAAAAAAAATACTGCCAAAATGCTACTCATTCTTATTTATAACATAGATTATTCATTCAAATACTTGACTATATTTTTATGAATTTTATTTATTACATGTTTTGTATAGATTTTAAATTATTTTATTATATGTAGAGATCACATTATTTATATAAATTATATGAAAAATGTGATCTTGCAAAACTTTATTTACAAGGAAAGTTTATATATATATATATANATATAAGCTTTTTAAATAATAAATAATGAGTTCCTTCATTTATATTAATTTAGAAGTTTTTCCGTTTCGCGTAACGAAAATGGGTGCATGTTAGCTATTTCTCTATTATGTCTATATATATATATATATATATACTCTAAACTATGTTTATTTGAAATATTTTTCTTTGTTTTGATTTTTACTTTTTCTTTAAGAGTGGTTTAAATGAGGAAAATATTGAATTAAGATTTATCAACACAGATTTTGAACTACGAATTTATACTTATCCTTTTTATCCTTTTTTTTTTGTACAAGATATTTATGTATACAACTTTATTATTAAGATTTACTGAACTTTTCATCTCAAGTTTCATTAACAAAATAATATTTATTTTATAAACTCTTATATTTGTACAAATTAAATTTATATTTTTGCTTGTCTTAACTGCCAGACTTTTCTTAATGCTAAACGATAATTATGAGAGTAATTTGGGCTTAAATTATGCTTAGCTATAAAACATAACATTTTTAGAAGGAAATGAATCAAAATAATGTTTTTATTTTCAATTATTTCTTACACATGTATATAATTCAAACACAAAACTCAACTTGTATGAGTCTCATTTAAGCTTTAATTTTAATTTACAGTTTTTTTTTAAAATTATGTAATTCATTTAATTTTTAGTTTATTAATAAAAAATGTATTAATTTTTCATAAACTTGTTGCCATTTAAAAATTAAGCTAATAAAAATTATTTCTCCTTCCTTTGAATTTTAAGCTATTTTTATTTATTATTACTTTAGGTATATTTTCAGACTGTTTAAATATAAGTGTAATAAAGAAAGTAAATTTAATGTTTATCTATCAAGATTACAATTTTATGAAGAAATAAACTGCAAAAATATTTTTCTTAATTCACTTCTCATTTATATTTAAGTAAAAGACTTTCTTTTTGAGTTTTATTTACCTCATCATATGTTTTATGTAAACCCTTAAATCACATTATTTATACATTTGATAGTTTTATTTATGATAAAGTGTACCTTTTTATTTATATATATAAAATTCTTTATACAAATGTGTAAAAATTTTCATTAAATTCATTGTGGAAAATTTTTCTAAAGAATAATAGTATTTATCTTAATTAACCTACTGTGTCAAATCTATTTTTAATAATTGAAGATTTGAGTGATAATTGATGCAGATAAGATCTATAATTATGCAGTTGTGCTTTTAAGCATTTTCAATGCAGCTAATTATTATTGAAAATTACTTTATAATACTACTTTAATTATGAATTTACTATTACTTTGTTGAAATCTTTCACAATGATGATACAAGTTGCTAACTTTGTGAGATGTTAAAAACCAATTTTTAAAAATTACTTCTTTATTTATTTTAGCTTTACTCCCATCTAATTTTCATTGCATTGTTATAAGTTTATCTTTAGAAATAATTATAAGAATACTCTTATGTTGTGCCATAGAAAGTTTTGATTTGATGATAACAATTTTCATGTACTGAGATGCAATTTTAATGGCTTTAGGATCACCCTTTAAATATATTAAGTGAAAATATTTGAAGATGTAAAAATAGACACAAAAAAAACTAACTTATTTTCTATAGATTCATTCACCTAACTATTAAAATATGAGAGATATGTGCAATCTGGAAAATAGAGTTCGTATGATTTATCCCTTTAATGTTTTTCCACTTTCCCGATTTTACAATATATGTCTTTTCCCAAAAATAAAAAAAGAACATGTGAAAGGTGCTTTTATCTCCACATCAGATATCTGAAATGCATACTATTTGCTAAATGCATTGCCCCCTACCCCCACAATGTCTTGTAATTTGTCCATGCTGTTTGTTCCATACATTTTAAAGTTAGTTTTCTTTATTTATTTATCTTGATTTAATCTTTTCCTAGATAGATTTTGCATTTATTTATTAATGTAAAACTTTTTAAAATGTTTTGTTTTTTGATATAAAACTGAGCTGTAAAATAAAATTATGCATTATTTGTTATTTTAAATAACCGTTTTACAATTATAATTTTAAATTACCTCAAAATCATAATTATGCAAAAAAATTAAAAAAAATTTTTTTAAGCTTTCACTTTCTGATAAGCATAAGATCTGTTCTATTAGCGCAAGCATTTAAGTGTCAATTGTTATAAATATACTTGACTTTAAGATTGGAATCTTATTATTAAAACTATAAACTGTTTTGTTTTTTGTCATAAAACTGTGCTCTAAAACAAAATTAGACATTATTTGTTAAGCATAATTTTCATTTCAGTGCGTAAATTAAATGTGCTGTAAATTAAAATCACAAAATTTTTTTTTTCTTTCATTATCCTTTTTTTATAATGCTTACTCCTGATTGGCGTAAGATCTGTCCTATTGAGGCAAGCATTTAAGTGTCTATTGTTATAAATATACTTGACCTTCTGATTGGAATCGCAATATTAATACCTAAGTTGGTTATTAATTTCTTTCTTACATTATTAATGGAAAAAAAACAATGTGGATTTATATTTCAAACTTATTTAGAATTAGTATGATGCCAAATTGTGTGTGTTTGTAATTTTAAGTTGTTATATTGTGAAGTCCTAATAAATGTTTTTCTTCTTTTATTTTTATCTTAGAGTTATTAATTTAGTTTAATATGAACAATTTAAAGTTGTATTCTTGGCCATTTTTTGTTCAAGACAACCCATTTAAAGTATTCGAAATTCACAAACTTAGTTGTAAAGAACAACTTAGTGTACTTAGTTGCTTACCAGACATACAGAACAGCAAAGGATCCAGTAGTTCAAGCACAGTTTTAGATGTTGGTAGATTCACCAAGAAATACATGAACAGTATAAATGAACAAGCTATAAATGAACAGTAAGTATTCAACTTGTAATTACTAATATATACTTTTTAAAACCTCATTTTTAAAGTGATGAGATGATTAAATGTTTTTATAATGGGAATAAAAAATATATGTTGACATGTAATTGCCCAGCAGATGTCATCTGCAGGTTAACTTGGTAAAAGCCGAAGTAAATAAGACGCTAACAGCAAAAGGTATCTGAATTATGAAGCTAGCTCATTTCTTGTTTTATCATTTTGCCTCTGGTTTTATTTTTTTTATGAAGTGGCATCAGTTGTAGTTTGACTGATCTAGTTCCTCCATCTGTGTTATGGCTATTATGTCATGAAGACGAAAGGAGAGAGAACATGGCTTATGAAGTGGCATCAGTTTTAGCTTGACTGATCTAGTTCCTCCATCTGTGTTATGGCTATTATGTCATGATGGTGAAAGGAGAGAGAACATGGCTTATGAAGTGGCATCAGTTTTAGCTTGACTGATCTAGTTCCTCCATCTGTTACGGCTATTATGTCGGGATGGCAAAAGGAGAGGGATCATGGCTTATAGTCGGTCGTTTTCGTTTTATAGTCAAGTCATTTACTACCTTTCCACGAATCGTTGGTTTATAAACTTTATTTGCAAACTGTTTCGCCTTCGCCGATTCGCTGACTCACTTTCAAATTATTCCTCTATCCATTTATTTACTCGCTGTATCGAAAATAACAAAGCAAACTAAGTTTTAAAAACAGGAATGACCGGCAAGAGAAATTTCATATGATGCTATACCATGAATCATTGTGTAGGAAGATGTGATTTGGAAAATTTAAAAACACATGTTAGATAAAAATTGTTTAAAAAAATTAATAAGGCGGTCATCATGGCAGTAGGAAACATTGAGTGATGGTGATTGAATTATGTTTTGATCTTATAATCCGATTTTCTTTGATCTAAAAAGCACAATCCAAAACATGCTAATTAATCAGGGTAGACATTAATTCGAGAAAGGACATAAATTTTTTTTTATAAAAGCCAATTTTTGAAATAAATTGAGTTAAAAATTAAAATTATCAATTTTTAAACTGATTTTGAGTAATTTTGGTGTGCTGATATCAAAATAAGAAATAGTTTTTCTCTCTGTAAGCTCAATTTTTATGTGTTTTAGATCATAAAATTAAAGTCTGGTAAGCCTTGAGAAAGGGTGCTGATTTTTGTACGCTTGAATCATGTTGACTTTTATTTTCAACTGCATATTTTGCATGGAATATAGTCAAAATTATTTTAAAATTCTACTTTTCTTGCTGACTTGAGGATTTTGTGTGTTTTAAAATTTAGTCATGATGAATCTCTAAAAGTATAGATGACTGAAAGAAATTCTTTGCATATTTGAAAACAGAATAAGGCAAAATAAATAAAATCGTAACAAAGAGCATAAAGATCTGCATTATGCCAACCTACTTACAACTTATTTTTAATGTTTTCTTTTGCTTGTTAAATGTTTTATACCGAAAAACAATTATTTGACACCTCAAGCAATTGTCTTTTAAGATGTTTATTTTATTAATTTTTGGTACATAATTCCCATCAAAATCAAGGTAAATGATTACGAATTGCCCATTGAATTTCATTGGGACCTTCAAACCCAAAATAAACTTTATAACATCAAGCCATATATAGACCCCTTACCTGTATTACGTTTATGTAATGCAGATGTAAAGCTTAATCGTCTCAGAATCGGCCACACTCAACTCACGCATCTTCATCTGTTGTTTAGAGAATCTCCTCCCAAATGCGACTCTTGTAATGTTTTACTTACGATTCATCACATTTTAACCATTTGTCCTTGTTTTAACCAACATCGTCTTACCTTTTTTAACAGCACGATTTTTTTTTTATGAAGGATTTGTTAGATGATATTCATCATCCTAACATTTTCGCATTTCTGCGAGCTCTTGGTATTTTATATTGTGTATAACTGTTTTATCTGATTTTATTCATTCTTATTTCCTATCCATGAACCGTTTTACCTTTTCTGTGTATTTTATAGAATTTTTGATTTTATAGAATTGATTTTTATGAAGT